ATTTGAGGCATCTACTGTCTTTTGAGGCTCATTTGAGGCATCTACTGTCTTTTGAGGCTCATTTGAGGCATCTACTGTCTTTTGAGGCTCATTTGAGGCATCTACTGTCTTTTGAGGCTCATTTGAGGTATCTACGGTCTTTTGAGGCTCATTTGAGGTATCTACGGTCTTTTGAGGCATCACTTGGGAGGCTAAACCATTCAAAATTGAAGCTAATGGATTGCCAGCAACAATAACAATTGCTTTAAAATAGATTGCTACAATTGTTATAGGAGCCGAAGACATTTATTGAAATTATTGTAAAACCGGTACGTAAATTCTCATGAAAAGCACTGTAGGATTCTTAATACTTTCAAAACGTGAACACGCTATTCTTTTTCAAAGTGGCAGACTAATATGCCAAAGACAATTTTTTTAGTTGTCAAACTTTCATATTTTTTCAAAATCTCGACTTCGGTAAAACAGGTTTTTGTGAATGGAATATGCGATCCACCGTAAATCTTCCCTGCTTCTCTTGCGAAATGGCACAAAAATCTTTGAGATGGCGATTGAAAGGCTCAACACCGCATTGGAAAAGTTGGCAAAGAAATTCTGCTCATTCATGACTTTGAAAAGCATTTGCAGTATTCCTTTTTTCCTCCAGATTTCCTTTCCCTTCTTGATTGCCATGATCCGTCAACGGCCAACCAGGCCCTTTTGGCAAAGGTTGCCCCTTGAATGGCACATTTTTTGAAAAATACTCGATTTTAAACAAATCTACCACATCACTGCCAGTTAGATGCGTCGGTGGACCGGATAGCATTCCTATTGTTTATTAGAGCTACAATTACAAATTCAAATTAAACGACTTTTCAACTATCGGCAGAAATAATCCACAGCGATATGCGGAGGCGATAGGGCCAGTGAGCTATGAGGAGCCGCAGGAGGGGTAACACCTGTTCGCCGCCCTTTTGCTTGATCGTGCAAAAAGAGCTTGTACCAGCTAAGTGGCTCCCTGTCTTTAAATTGGCTCAATTACTTACTGTGGTTGAGAATCGGCTTTGACTGAATGGCACTGTTATTGAACAGCCATATATGACCATTTGTGCAACCAGACATGCAGCTCTCGCATGGGTGAGAAATGTGATATCCAATGATAGTTCCGCTACAATTAATGACGAATAAATACCAGGTTAAGCAGGCAATATCCCTCAAAAGGCAATCGCAGCTAATAGTCCGGTAGTCCAAATCAAGAAGACCGATTGCACAGCTTTGGGATTACTTAAATTGACAACTAGACATACCTCATTGGCGAATCTGTCGAGAAAAGAATGCAATTTGAGTCTGCGAGCAGTTTTGACCGCATTGCCCTGTCAGAAACAACAGACTCACATTTTTCGCACGCAAGCTGGTAGACATGTTTTCGTTTGGCCTCTTCTACTCGAGAGTTTTTGGAGGGGTGAACTCTTTGTACAGAGCGAAATTCGGATTGGGATCCGTTTGTTCCATTTCGTAGGGCAGCAGGAGATGAATCCAAAAATGACCTCCAGAAATGGAAAACATTAGAAACATCAGAAGAATGTGACGGTGGCGAGCCAGTTAGATTAAGCATTCTGAGGATTTCGCCATCCGTTCCATTCCCCGGTTCCGGAGTCTGATCTAACGATGGAGAAGAGCTTGCTGAAAGGCCTTGAAAGCTAGCATTATAAGCCTGAGCGACAGGCTCAAGACTTGAATCAAGTGCATCAATAGAAGATGCGATCAAAGAGCTAGATTCCGTGGAAGTAATTGTCGACTCGCCTAGGCTAGATATCCTACTAGCATTCCCAGAAGCAAGAAGGGTATTCAGACTGACGATTGATCCGACAGAATGCTCGTTTAGGGACGCCTGGGTCGAGCTAGCCCGACTATGGTCGATAAACTCGGGTCTGTGCATACGTGGAAATAAGATCCACTGACATAAATAGATGCGGGCATTATTTGATTTGATGACTTGGTAACCAACGGTACTAGAAGCTAAATTAAAGTGACCCTCTCATTTTAAATTTTTTAGTGCCAGAGCTTCATTTAAAATTTACAATTGGTGGCGTTTCTAATTGTATAACTTACAGTTGCCAGAATTCGTTCTCACGATCTACAATGTTCGTGCATATCCAAGAAGCATCTGGACATTCCCTCCAAATGCTTACATAGTCATCGCCATATGAAAAGTAAACAAATGACCCTGCGGGGGACCATGCTACTTTCCAAGCCACATGGGGGAATTTGGGCAAGGTCTCAACGGAGACTGGAATTAAGGGCTTGTCCGGTTTAGTCCTTTTAGAAAAAACACTGGAAAGATCCACAGTCCAAATGACCCCACTTTTGTCCTACAAGAAAGAATGATTGGAAAATGCCTGGGATGCAGATGCGAGTCTAACAACCACAATCATATCCACCTCATCAAATAGATTTGGGTGTTCACCGTCCAAAAGTGGCATAAATGAAATCGATCTTATGATATCTGAATGACCGCTCAATGTAGTCAATATAGAAAGGGAAAGTGGTTTTGCGTCTGACGATTCTGTTAGCATCCAGAGTTTGATAAGCCCATCTGCACCGCCGGTACAAAGAATCCGCTTGTCATGTATTGATAGCCATTGCAGCGTATATGCTCCTCCATGATGTGCATTGATGGAGAAACAAACACACCAGTCCTCTTAAAACTAAAAAACGAAAAGCAATTACGATTTTGTTTCGAAAGTAGAGTAATATTGCCGGAGGAAAAACATGTGGCAAGGATGTCCATTGACGATGCAGATGTGGTAGTCCAGCAGATTTCATTAGCTGAAGTAAAGTCTCCCTCAATTTCGGCCATTTTCGAAAATCCTTGACAATCGCTGCTTTCCACATGCCGGTTCCACAGTGAAACTCTTCCGCTGTTCGAAGCAGCAGCTACAATAAAATCCTTGGGATTCCAGGCTAAGCACCAAATTGGGCCGTGGTTTGCACATCTACAAATAAGAGATAAAAAAGGCACTTGAAAGAGGCGATTTCCTTCCCCATATGGCAGTTGTATACTTTCACCGTTGAATCGGAGGAAGAAGTTGCAACCAAAAGGCCTGTACTGTTGAATGCAATTGATTGCTACAATAATGGTCAATAATCCATACGTACAATCACATCATCATGTAGGGGAAATTGTTCTTGCAGCATTCTAGCTTGATGGCGAGTTTCCATTGACCAAATAAAATTTAAAAATCGGATAAAATTATTACTTTACTTTATTGGACGGAGCACTAATCCCGTTTGGGGAGGTTTTTTTTCAGAACAGCCGCAGGGGCTGCCATCTTTTCGCGCTGGGCGTCCCACTCGCCAGCAGAGATTTTCTCCATCTGCTTTCGAAGAAGAGAAAGCTTTTCCGGATCGGTGGCAAAAGAAAACATCTCTGCCTTCAGACCTTTTTTCAGGTCTTTTTCAATGACAGATGAAGAGGAGGACAGGGAGGCAAGTGCCTTTGAAATAGATTTTTCGTCATTCTCGTCCGATTCGGCGAACAAGGGTCCAAAGTTATTGATTGCCATGAAGAAATAAATGCACCATTGATGGAGCACAATAAGCTTCTCTGAAACAGTCAAATGAGGGAAGAACCAGTATATCGGATCGTAGGGCAAAAAAAGCATGTTTGCTTCAAGGACCATCATCGAAAAGTACGTAACGACGCGAAAATACTGCGAAAATGCTCCCGTGTTAAAAATGACCAGTAGAAACAAGATAACTCCAGATGCAATGTAGTTGGCAATGGTCTCCATTGTGGACGAATAAATATAATCTTTGAAAAGAATGCAATGAGAACAGGAGTCAACTTTTGAAGAGCCAAATTTTTCATAAGCCTTCTTGGTAATCGGATGTGTGATTACTTCATAAATTTTTTTCAAGTGTATAAACGTGGTTTCAGCCTCTGGAGATGGATTTTTATCTGGGTGATATTGGAGAGTAAACTTTCTGAATTTAGCTCGGATTTCCTTGACAGGGGCGCTGGTTGGAAGTGAAAATTCCGAGTAGTAGTTCTGGGGAAGCATCAGTACCGCCTGAAGAATGCAAAATAGCAGGTAAGATCCAACAACAAGGACGTAGAAGATTTTGTGATGTTTCTTGTATTTTGCAGATCCCGGCTGGGGAGCCGAGCCCGGCGAATACTTGAACTTGTAAAAGGTAGACTGCAGAAACCCAGTGAGGGTATTTGGAAGAATCATCCAAAGCATAAAGTATAGGGATGCATCCCCGATGGACTCGTTGGGGGAGGAAGAGGGTGCCATGAATGCGGAGAAGCCTCAAAATGGAAAGAAAGCAAAAAATGAGACGCCCAAAACCAATCTTTGTAGAGAGTTTAAAATTTGCAATCTCAAACATCCGACCAATCGGGGCGAACTTTCGTTTTATCAATCAATAGTTTGTGCTCATTTTAGGGCGAGTCTTTTGGTCCAATCGGTGTCGACTTTAAAACTGTGAAAACACTAGGATCAATCGATAACGGAATCCCCTGTTTGTCCGTTACTACTGGTTCACACCAGTCTTCACGCAATGCATCAATGTGATATTGCGATTTGGGTGTGACGTCTGGAATGCCATCATCATCCAACACACCCTAACCCTATCTAATCGCCTCAGGATAATAATTTATTACACACGATGACGGTAACATGTCTTTGCAGGGTTCAAATGGAATGTTACGCCTATATTCCAAACTGAGAAAGATCCAAATCTTCATCATCGTCGATTCCTGATTTTCGCTTCACAAAGGTTGTCGGGGACTGCTGTTGCACGTCACAATCTGCCTCATTCAGACCACCCACCTGAGATAAAAGCGAAATCAGCTGCTTATCATCTAAGGGCCTTGAGAGGGCGCCTCTTTGGCTCATCTGCAATAGGTATGACTGCACTAGCTTGGCACGGTCCGGCTTGACAATAGCAACCCTATTTACTAGAATAAGTGGGAGCAAATGGTGCACATACATCTATCCCTGGCTTCGGGAGACAATACACGAGATAGCATTAACATTTGCTTGGCTTCATCGTTCTTTTGCTTTTGGAGCTGCTGAGCAGGAGCTGCTGAGCAGGAGCTGCTTCGCCGGTTGGAGGGAAGGATGGAGCCGACGGTGGGCTTGAGTTCATATTGATACACGAACTAAAAGTTGAAAATTAGTCGGTAAATTCGGGCACAATATAATTTACATTTTAATCAGCCATGTTGGCCACCGACACACCCGGGCATTACTATTTTAAGGAAATCGGGTCCATTTTGAATGACTGCCAGGAGTCGACGGTAACGCACAAAAAAAACGTAAAGCTCTTTTCAAAATTGCTATTTGCCGCCAAAGAATCACTTGATTTGTTGATATTTTCGTTTATCCGCCATCTAAATCAAGTCTTGTCGTCGCCATATTCAAAGAAAGATGGCCACATTTGGGTGGAGAACGCAATTGTCTTTTTCCAGCTTCTAATTCAAACCCTGCTAACCAACAACGATGGCGAAGAATGCACCCGATTTTCCTCTTTTTTGGTTAAATATCTTCTTCAAGGGGTCGAGGCAAAAGAGCGGCACATTCGATGCCGCATCCTAACGCTTTTGTCTTTTTTTGCAAAGTTTGTCAAAAGCAATGGGGACCTTATGTGGGCATCTTTTTGTCTCAATTTATTTTTAGGGGAAAGCCACTTATAAATAGCTACAAGGACAAAATTTTTGCAAGGTTCTTTGATAAGGAGGTTTCTGTAAGATGCAGTGCCGTCGTGTGTTTGTCACCGTTTATTTGTGGTGGTGACAATATCGTTTTCGATGAAGATGATATCTCCTTCTCTCAGGTCGTCCAAAGGGCTTTGATTGCCATGCTACAGAGCGACCCTTCAACGTACACATTTTGGTGCTTTATCCTAGTGAAGTGAGGAAGCAAATTTTGTCGGCCATTGAAATTAATATGGAGACCATTGAGTTTATTTTGGAACGATGCCGAGATTCCGATCCAACAATCCGGAAATTTGTATTTGGGACAAAGCTATTTGAGCTGGACCCAAACGACTTGACAATTCAACATCGCCAGTACCTTGTCAAAGTCGGACTTGCCGAAAGGTACTTTACTTGCACACATTTATTTCCGTTTTCAGAAACTCGCTGGCTTCACAATCATTTTTCAAGCTAATTTTCACTCATTGGCTAAAATCCACTTCGTCTTCAGGGTTGTCCAACTTGGTGTCTTTGTTTTTGAACGTCACCGACTCTTTCAATGACACCGATGCAGGCGGGCATGGGGCTATTGAACGATTTTCCGATGAATTCACTTTGCTTTCAGAAAAATTGCTTTTGGATTTTTTTTGCAAGACACAAGTGAATCTTGGCACATTTGGCATTCTTTACTTTGAGGCAAAAACACCAGAGCCTTTCCTGGTCGCACAAGTGTATTTCACTCATATGTTCAACTCTTTTCCCGACCCCCAACAAGCGTCGTTTGAGATATCAACATGTCTTCCCGACATATCGGCTCTTGTTTTACAATTGGATAAGCATGCAGAATGCATCTCCGGCTCAACGGTGTTTATTATAAAACAGCTCATGAAAATCATTGCATTTCTTCCGTTGAACACAGATGAGGTCGGCAGAAGGCGGCTGATCTCTGTTGTCCGTAACCATCAAACGCGGTTGACTAATTTCTATAGAATCCCTTATAATCAAACCAAATATCCCGGAAAGTCTGTTGAGCGACTCTATTGCTCTTTTAAAACGATCGCTTTTGGATAGCGATGCCGACATTTCCGATTGTATTCTTTCCTCAATTGCAGACCTTCAGTGCATTTTTTCGATCGATTTTGAGGCTTCCGCTGAAGACTTGTCCTCCTTGTCCTCCTCAAATAAAGAGGACCAATCTCCCTTCGTGGAGAGAAGGTTTCAAAAGGATCCATCGTCTTCATTGGATGAGATAACTGTTTTAGCACATTTGCGGTGCTTGCAGTTAATCAAAGCAGTGCTGTTGAACATCAAGGCAGGTGTTTATTTGGCTGAACTTTTTTAGGCGCCATCGGGCTCCTTTTTTTCTCTTTTGAACGAAATTGCAATTCCAAGCATCAACAGTACGTTGTCGGTCTTGCAAACAAGCGGTCTTGAGGTCCTTTCCTTATTTTGCACTTTTGAAAGGGTTAGTGGTTTTTTAATCAGCGTTAGTCCATTGCAGTTCAATATATCCCATTGTTTGTCGAATTTCTCCAAGTTTCCATTGATAAACAGCCCCGTTTAATTTCTGCAAAGGTACTGAGGAGTGGCCTTTTAACCCGATTAGGCCTTATTTGATATTTTGGTCCTATATGGGGCATCCATTCACCAGGAGGAATCACTGGCCAATATTGCAATACTTACGACATTGAAGAACATTCTCTGCTCGCTAGATATTCAACAAGTTGCAGTCGAAGGCTTTTCTAAACTCCTTTCCATCCAATTGATCCAAGAAAGGGTGTCAGAAATGGAAAACAATGCCGCTCTTTCGCCAAAAGCGGAGCCTTCAAAATTTGATTTAGAGGTACTGGCGATTCGATATGACCCACCCTTTGTTTATAGATCATAGAAGCACTGATGCTGCTGTATTTTCACCCAAAAAACCTATCTAATGCCCGTCTTGTCCAATTTTTAACGTTTTTCATACAGGCTTTTGCTTCCACATCTCCTCAAAACCAAGTTCTTATTTCAAAGGTGGAGATTTGTGTAAATTTATACAAAACTAGGCCATCATCCCTGTATGCAGGATCCTGGCCCCGGTGCTGGAATCCCAGCTAAGCCTTGGCGAAGTTGAGGATTCATGTGCGAACCTCAGTCTCTCTTCAATTCTGAACCAAGCGATTGCATGGACTTCTCTCTCTTTTCTAAGAAAAAAAGACACTCCATCATCAGAGGCACACGTGGAGCTTGCAATTGCCCTTTGCGAGGAGCTGTTGGAATATTCAACAAGCAACCTTTCTTCAAAGGTTCTTTCGAGCCACCTATCAAAACTCAACTTTGGTGCTTGTTCGAAAGAAAATCTCCAAAATATGCTTTCCATTTCATCTGTCGTCCTTAAGGTTTGTCATACTTTGGCATTGGTAACCCCTCAAGGTGTCTCACAACTCAGACAAGTCAACAGCGACGAACATGAAGCGGTTTGCGGGCATCCTGGTCGGCCTTCTCTCTTCGATAGAATAAATAGATATCGCGCAATAGTACAACATTCAACGTGTGCAAGATGATTGAGTAAATTATGTCATCAAACCACCGAGTCGCTGCCTAACAATTGCGGGTGATAAATTCGACATTTGAGCCGCGATCCCGATTGCGTCGGTTCCTTACTATATTGGAGGATGATAGACTTGCTAAAAAGGTATCTGGCATTGTTGAAGAGTCAAGCGAGAACTGGTTATCCGTCTCTCCTGGTCCGATTGATGGGGTAAGTCCTCCATATTCACCCGAGTCTCCAGCTGGTTTGCCTCTAGCAATGGCAAGCAGCTTTGGTATGATGAGAATCGACAGTGTAAACACGAGAAGGTATATCGTTCCAACGGATCGGATAATATATTGCGACTGAATGGTGCCAGTTATCGTCTCAGTGTTGAAATATATGATGACCAGCGTCAAACTAACGATGAACAAGTCAAGTAGAGCTGCAACGATAGAGGTATTTTCACTATGCGGCGAAGGCTGCAACGTTATGCTGATCGAAATAATCAGTGCAGCAAGGATGAAAGTCAAGTTAACTGCCAATTGAACAATGGAAATTATCTTTTGCAAATTCGGATCGCGTGTGCATTGGCACGCAATGTAGAAAAATAAGCTTGACGGCGATTCTCTATTGAGCGAAGGAACGGGCGTTCCAGAGACAAGGAAAATAATGGCCAAAAAAAAGATATTAACCGCCAATGTCATCCCTGAAAAGATAAGAAGAGCACAAGGATCGAGTCCCTGTCTGTACTCCTTCAACGAACAATAGACCTCAAACGAGCGGAAGAGCTTTCCTGAAATGGCACCAAACATCATCGAAAACCCGACTATCAGGACAATGATTTTCACAATGCAAAGGAAGGATGTGCTATCCAGTGTCCACAGGATTGCACTCAGGGAAATTAAAATGGAGCCAAATAAAAGGAACATAAGAAAGCCAAGCCCTGCAGACACAACAGGCTCGGTATCTTTTTTAAGATAGAAAAATAAGATTAAGAAGATACAAATAAGGATCCATACCACGAAAAGAAGGCTCATTATGATACCAATGGTGCTTGAAAAGTTGGCCACTTCTGGGATAACTACGGACATTGGGATAAATGGCGTGCGAAAGCACAATTCATCTTTGAAAAGATAAACCCCAGAAAAATTTGATAGGCCAACCAAATATTTGTTGCCGTTTTCGCAAAATTGGTAGAAGGAAATGTCGGACGAGTTTCTTTCATGCCCAATCCATGAAACGGTGCCGGTCAGCCCTTCAAAGTAAGTATCATTGAATGCAGCCAAAAGCTCTGAATTTGTGAAATATGGAAGATCACACGGGTAAGAGGTACCACAGGGAGCTATCAACTGGTTGTAAGCAAGTGCAACTACATATGTGGCGTCATATATGTAGTTCACATATGGATTCAGTTCCTTATTGCTGACTAGGATGTCTGTGGTTGGGCATGAACACAGGGCATTGATGGGATCCCTGTTATCGACATCTTGGCAGACACTCAGATTCTTTGTTTTCGGGTCTTCAACAGAGGTAAACATGTAGATCTTGTTTAAAAGGAACGTATAAGGTGCTAAATTTGGCCCAAAATCATTAGAAACGTTTGCTAACAAGCTGGATATGTTTTTAATAGCCGAGCTATTGGTAGAATATTTTAAAGAAATATCGGATTTTGAGGAAAAAATCGAGTACAATGAGGTGAGATCAGATTCAGAGAGGCTATCAAAGTATTTTTCAATGCTGAATATTGGGGAACCCTTGAGGGTGCATTGAAAGTTCTTTTGCCAGTAGCGCAAAAATCCGATATCAAAGTTTGACATGGGGGACTGCTCTGCCAAACACTCTTTAACAGTGGCTTGGGAAAAGGCGCGAGGTTCAAGTGAATAGGACCCATACATAATTTCTGGTGTGATGGTTCCATTGGAGAGCTCACTCAGCGTTTTTATTGAGGTCTCAGATCCGCCCCATGAAAATGGAGCAAAGAAAATTGTTTCATCAGTGAACACACTGGGACCTGCATTTACAATTTTTGTGATCACAGAAGCCGCATCGAAGGGATTTGCACACAGAATAATGGCTCGCACTTTGGTTGTCTTCATACACTCAATAAAGACCTCCACATCGTCTGAAGTACTCGAAATTTCGGTAGGCGATAGCGTCGCTTCGCATAAAAGATACGGATTATATCCATACTTTGAAGTTTCTTCCAGAGCAGAATTGATGGCATCAAGCCCGGAAGACCCTACAAAATCATTCCCGTAGACGACGGCAAATTGATTCCACCCAAGCGAATAGAAAAGATTGATCATCGATAGAGCAGCAAATTTGTCTCCAGGAACGGTGCGGTAAAAGGTGGGGAACAGGACTTTGTCAACCAAGAATGTTGACGAGGCAACTCCAGATGTGATGCTGAGCAATGAGGGATTAATCAAGGGAGCAACGCTGAAGACTTCCTCATAGGTGGTGAGCCCAACAAAGGCCGTAACATTTGCCTGCATGGCCAAATATGCAGAATTTATTGCCGATGAGGCTCTGCCATGCGTGTCCCATACCTGGAAGTTTAAACGCGTATGCGGGAGAATGTCTTGATCGGAATTGATATTCTTAACTGCGCAACGCATGGCTTCAGCAAGCTGGATCCCATTCTCAAAGGGTTCCCCCGTCTTAATATCGGTCATCGGAAAGAGACCGGCAAGCGTCAATGCCGAAACAGATTGCGGAATAACAAAAGAGAGCGTAAAATTCAGTTCAGGAAAAATGGTGTTAAACTGAGTGGAGCAATTAAGGGGAGAATTTGGGGGGGTTCCCTTAGGGATAACAGGAATATATGTCGGTCGGAAAAACCCCGTCGCAAGGGGTGAAAATTTTAGGCAAAGAGAATAGTATGGCTCAGTCAGGCTTGATGGGTCCTCAGGGTAAGGGTAGCATTTGAAAGGCAGAGGAAAGAGAACATTTTCCGTGGACAGCTTGAGATTTGGGATCGTCGAGACCTCGCACAAAAGGCCCGGAATGAAGGAGAAAAAGAGGAGCCACAACACAGGTCCCATACTTGCAATGGTGGTTTGGAAAAATGCTGACCAGCCCTTTAATAAAAACAGACCGCATAATAATCATTGCAGAATCGCAGATCAATAGTTCTATGATCTGATCTACCGTTGATCACGGGGAATTAAGAAAATCTTTGAAAATCGCATGCATGATGCGAATCGATGCATCATGCAGCTGCACCTGCCACCACATGCAATGTAAAAGCATGTGGCACAGCAGTAACAATGCAAAAGTTGCACTCAATCACAGCGAAGAAATGAAAACTAGCAGAGGAAGCGGCCGGTGCATGAACATTCATTTCCACGGCCCAACCCTGGGCCCCCGGTAACTCTAGCGGCTAATAAGCCCTGGAATAGGGAACAATGGTTCCAATCTGGTTTGAAGCGAGCTTTGTACATGTATGTGGAAAGGCTTTATTGAACTCGCGTTAATTTACTTCTTGTGCTTGATCTTCTTGAGGTAAAAGTCGAGTTCGCGGCCCTCAAGAATATATCCGTCAGCGCGTCCGCTTTGTCCGGGACGGGACTTGAGAATAGCATACAAACGACCGGTGTTGAACTGCTCCTTCACATGCACATCAACGGCTGCGTCTTGCGCGCGCATAGCGTGTTTAGCTTTGACGGCTTCAGAAGGCTCCTTTTGGGCAACGGATGGGTCTGCAATTTCTTCAGCCTTCTTTTTCCCAATAGCGACGCCATAATGGGTTTCCCACCATTGACGGAAGGGAGTTGCATCGATTTGAACGATGGCACCCTTGACAAGCGTCTTTGTGCGCACTAGCTCATTATTGGAAGCATTGTAGACGACATCCAAAATACGGGTTTTTCTGGTAATTGCCTCAGAACCCCAGGCGAAATTTCCAGAATCTAGGCGCATGGCGCGGAACTTGTGATTTCCACCGCGGACGCGGAGCTCATGAATACGCTTAGGACCAAGCTTGGTGTTGGCTGCTTGACGTCCAAGTTCGTGTTTACGCTTCTTGCAGTAAAAAGCGCGTTTGGCTCCCGTTGCCGAGCGCTTGTGTCGACTGTCACGGCTGATTCCTAAAGATTAGCAAGACATACGGAATGGTGGCGAAATAAAGAAAAGAAAATGGATGGATGAAAAAGAAGAAAGAGCTGAGAGGGGCGCAAGACTCACCCATTGTTAATGAAAAAGAGCAGTATTTTTAAATTTTAAATTTAAACCGAACTTAAATTTAATGATAAAAACTTGTCATTTGGTCGTGCCGAGACCTCCTGTGGCTGAGTGAATAAGACCTCTGGCGTGGAGCGAAGCATCCAGGGTACTCCAAAAAGCAAAGACAGATTCGAGGTCTAAATGAGGACGTGTCTGGTGTACATTGAGTACCTGCACATTCCATCCCTTGATCCGTGGATCAACCATTTCGTCCTCATGTTTAAGATGGAAGCCTTGGATTAACGAAAAAAGCTGTGTGGGTGAATCATATGGCTCTGGCCAATCCTTAAACTGCCAGGCGGCTCCCTGGGCAAAGACAGCTACGACCCTCTTCTTCCAATCCTCTAAACTTAGCCGTGACGCAGAATCTATCACCAAATATGAGAGGATGTCATTTTTTCCACGTTCACGGGAGACAGTCGTAAAGGCTGGTTTTTTTCCGCAACATTCGGCGCGAGCAGTTGTAGGATCGACGAACCGACATTCCTCCAAAAATTGTTTCACATTAAACATGTTGATCGTAGAGGTGGATGAAAAGGGTACCACTATAATGGGGTCATTTCGTGATTTTTCTCCCACCGGTGCGGGCGCTGGCATGACTATTTGAGATTTTCCACTACCCCCTTTCATTTGGTCGAGCAATTGACGGGGATTTACTACGGAAAGGCCCATTGGCAATAAAGATGACGACGACGACGACGGCGACGTAGACACTTGCGGTCTTGAGCTTACCCCTTGCGAGCGTACCTGCTGCGGCGCATTTGAGGAGGCACCGACTTTCAGCAGTGCACGCAAAGTTGAGACAACGCCGGAATAGTTTTTGTTGCGACTAAGAAACAACGCGCCTGGAATAAACGCCGGCTTTTCTAGTGGTGCCACACCGCTTGGATTCTGCTCATCCATCCGGATATCGGATGGAATAGCAGTTTCTGAAAGTAAAAATTGGTCTTGCAAACCTTTTATCTCGTCAATGGATCTAGGCTTGATCATCTGGACTGTGGTCAGGGTCATCATCTGCTCAATGAGCACCAAATGTTCTGTTGCGCCGGAGAGTGCTTGCAAAACCAGCTTTCGATCGATAATGGAGATATGCGGCCAGTTTATGGCGCGGCACTCGCGCAAATACTCTGAAAATGGAAGATGTTGGCGCAGGTGCAGAAAGTATACTGCGCCCATGGTGTAGTGGCCCTGGCTACCTGCAACATTCCGACATGCAAGTGGCACGGGGCATGCTAGCAAAAAGCAGTATGATGGTCCAAAGGAAATGTATTCTGCCGCACCAATGTTGCCCTCTTTCACAGTTACCACGTTGCCAATTGCATCCAACAGCGTAACAGGGCTTTGGTGTATGAGCGCGTCCACGAGGAGTACAAACGGGTCCGCCATTCAATTATTTGCTGTAAATTGTTTGTCTGGAAATTTGGTTTAATTTTAGCCGGATTTTGTTGTGTGCATATGAGTTCACGGGATCTCCAAGACCACATTCTTCATGGGATTGAAAGTACGCGGCATGCCTTAATAAACGGAAACTTTTGCGTGCCTAGGTATAGCAGAAATTTCCCGCTGGAACACGCAGCAACGCTTCGCCGCTCTTCTGGCTCTGTATGACGATACCTTTAATGTCAAGATTACCGTAATCAAGTCGGACCGAGTACAAGGCCGCGCAGTATTTATGGTTGGAGCATGCACACTTGCAGAGGAGGAATATAATCGCCAAGGCGAGCTGCTCATGGTGTCGCCAGAATGGCCCTCAATTTCGATCCTCGATGCCCATTGTTCCTCTACAACAGGGCTCCGACAAACGGTTTCAGACCTCGTAGCCTGCAGCAAAGAGGACCCTGGGCGCTTTTTTTCTTGCGGATATGATGGCTTGATCAAGCTTTGGAAAGTCGATGAAGACCAAGTTCATCTGTTGGATACATGGAAGGGACATCGCGATCGCGTTCACTCGATTGCAAGGCATGTATCCGATTTGATTTTGGCGAGTGCCTCTCAGGATGGCTCTGTACTGCTGTGGCCATATCAGCGAGGCTCCCGGACATCAGCACGCCCATCTCCGCTTTTCCGCGCCAGTCCTCGACAGGGAATTCCAGATCTCGTGCAATGGGGCGAGAGCAAGCAAACAGAAAATTTATTGTTTTCGCTCACGTCATACTCGCCCGCTGGCGAAAAGGGCCAAGTGAGTATCTGGGATGGAATTGTAATGCAGCGGCTCGCAACGCTTCAGCCGCCTGCGGGAGGCCTTTCTGCAATGGCCGCTGCTCCAGATGGCTCGCTATTAGCTCTCGGAGGTGGAACAACCTCCATGATCAGTGACGAAATCTGCGGTGACGGCGTGCTCCGTTGCTACGATCTGCGCAGCATGCCCATGCTTGGGTCCTGCGTTGGCTCCTCGAAATCGTCGTGCGCATTCAAGATTTCAACCGGCCACATCGATACAGACAGCATCATTTTCTCTCCAGATTCACAGCTAATCATCAGTTGCCAGGGTCATGCCCAGGGCTCTGAGCTCAAAGTGTACGATATAAGAATGGATCGGCGCCAACTGCATGTTCTTGTGCACGAGGCATGCACGTCAAAAGCTCAAAATTCACCTAAAGCCTCGTGCATATCAGCAGTCTCGGCATCCTCAACTACTATACATCCACCAATAGAAGTGCCAGGATCTGTAGTTGCTTCGAGCTGGCGACCTGATGGCACTCTGGTCACCGGCGGTGCCGATGCATTTCTTCGGTTTTGGGACCTGACTCTTGCAGATCCAGAACAGAGAGGGCTCCAATTGCAGACAGATGCACCAATTTCAGCGATATCACTTGGGCCTAATTTGGACGACACCATTTTGCTTGCTGGCACAGAGTCAGGAACATTATACATATGGAGCGCATCCAGGGCAATCGTATCCAGGATGCGGGAGAAAATGGGCGCCCCCGGCGAGGGAAATCTTTTATCTTGCTGATCCGCTATCTATGAGCTTGACGCCGGCTGCGCCACAACAACATTTCCCCATAAGTGAAGAGGGAGGAGGTCCCGCAATTAGCAAAATTTAAATAACGAATTTTTAATGCCCACATTGTACCAGCACTATTCCAAGGTCCAAACGGAGCAGCCATCCGCTATCGGCCACGTGGCGCATCAGTCCGCCGTTAACCGCCTTATTTTGGGCGTAGAAGCATCGTGGCGCGACATTTTGGGAGACGAATTCAAAAAGCCATATTTTATGAAGTTGGCACAGCAATTAGAGACGGAGCGTGCCAAGTTCACAGTCTACCCGCCGGAATCGCAAACGTTTAGATGGAGCCAATTGACACCATTTGGATCTGTGCGTGTTGTCATCATTGGACAGGATCCGTATCACGGTGAAGGTCAGGCCACTGGATTAGCATTTTCACTTGCAAAAGGGAGGCCGCCGCAACCGTCGCTGAGGAACATTTTCAAAGAAGTGAATGCCTGCATAGCCACTAAAATGGTATTTCCCCATGCCTCGCTTGAGTATTGGGCTACGCAGGGTGTTTTACTTCTTAACACCACCTTGACAGTAAGGGCAAATACCCCCAATTCGCATGCACAGTTCGGTTGGGATATCTTTACTGACAAGGTTATTGAACTGGTGGCTCTCCATGCCCCAAAACGAGTCGCATTTATGCTTTGGGGAGTACATGCACGCCGTAAAGAGTCGCTGATCAGACGATGTGATGGTGGAAATCGGCACCTGATTTTGACTGCCTCACATCCGGTTTCCTTTACCGCAACAAGAGACTTTTTGGGTTGTGGTCATTTTCGTCTGGCAAATGAATTTCTGTTGGCGCAGCACGAGTCGCCTATCGACTGGGCCGTTGAACCCGGTAACAATAAACATGAAGAAATTTAACGTAGCTAAACAAAAGACCTAAATGCTCACATCTCGCGGAGCGTCCATAGGACGTTTCCCCGTACGACACTTTTTTCTGAAAGCTCCAAGAGAATCCTTTTAAAAAGCATCTTTTCCTTCTTTGCAATGCGTGGTCCAAACTCCTTCAAAATGCTCTCTGTGGAAGCACTCCCACCACGTGCCAACAAGAAAGACCGCAGGTCAGTGAAAAGCCAATTATGGCCCTGCATTTCAGTCAAAGGTTCTGCTCGAATGCGTCTGAGATGCTCCAGAACGCTTACACTGTCAATCGCTCTTTTTTCCTTGCTTTGCTCAAGCATTCTCAGTGAGGTTTCGGCAATTTTTTTTGCCTCCTTCCTTATGATTGGCGTCTCATTTGGGGCGTTAACACCTGTAGCGTCAAGCAACATGTCAAGAAGTGGATCTCGGTCTGTTTTCTCGACCAAAAGGCTTTCGCCATTTGATAATTCACGCTGACGACTCTCATGCTGGGGATTATCGACAACATCTTCATCATCGCTGTCAAGAGTAAAAAGATCGTGAATCTCAGAGGATTTGAACATTTGAAGGCTCCGCGGGTCTTTCAAGATTCTATTTGTGACCATGGTCTTGAAGATCTGCCGCCTGTATATTTTCTCCTCAATGGTGCCTTTGGTGATGAGGCGATATACATGCACCGAATTGTGCTGTCCCAGACGCCATACACGTTCTCGAGCCTGGGCGTCCGTCGATGGATTCTGCAAAACATTAATAAAAACTCGAAAATTTGCATTTAAAAGGAGGATCATAAAAGTGCAAGGAAATTTGATTAAATTGATGGGGTGGGGTATCAGCGTTATACTTACCCAGTCAGGATCATAAATGAGGACTCTATCTGCACCAGTCAAGTTGAGCCCAACACCTCCGACGCGCGTGGTCAATAGGAAGAGAAATACTGACGGGTCGCTGTTGAAACGCGAGACAAGTGGATGACGCTGCGCAGTATCTGTAGAGCCGTCCATACGTAGATATGTGTACCCTATAAATTAGAAACTGTAAATCGACAAAGGGGTAATAATGCATGGCGTACAAGCGTACATGCAAAATCTCATGTGGGTGGATTTTCCAAAAAGGATGAACAGAAAGCGTACCGTTTTGCTGCACTATTCGCTCAAGCACGTCCAGCATTTGGCGTGTCTGACAAAAAACAAGTGCTCGATTGCCGGAGGCATGCCAATCAGCCAGTATTGCCTCTAACACGCGGATCTTTCCAGGAATGCTATCGCAAAATCCATTTGGAGGATCGACAAAGTTCATTAGCTTCAACAGCTCTGCGGTAGATTTTTGAGGATGAAGCTTTTCGTTCTTGGTGGTAAGCAGTTCTGGAGCGTTGCAAATTTTGCGCATGATGTCAATGCCATGCAGAAGATTGACCCGCTTTTTTCGGATACCGTCAATAAGCGGAGAGATCAAAAAGTTGCGATAAATGGCACGTTGCTGCTCGCTTAGCCGGCAAAAGACAATCTACGGATGAAATGGCCGGGCGAACCTGCTCGCGTTTTGGCGGTAGCTGAACAGCTACCTGCCGCTTCCAACGGCGCAAAAGCACGGGCGCAATAAGCTCTCGCAACAACGCAGCACACCTGTATGCAGCAGCTCGCTGAAGAGGGCCGGCCTGCGCGTAGGAGCCGGCACGAATAGGTGTTTCAAAATGAACCCCAAAGGCATGGAGTGTTCCCAACCGTCCCGGATGCACCCAATCTACGAGAGCCCAGAGATCAACAAGAGAATTTTGGATGGGCGTCCCGGTCAGCAATACGCGTTGCGCACACTAAAAGGTAAATGGATCGAAATACAAAAATATCCCGAAGTGCTACAGAGATAGCTGCATCGTGGTTGCGAATTCGATGCCCCTCATCAAGGATAACAGCGTTCCATGGTCGTAAAGAAAGGATGTGCCGCTTCTCCATCAAAAACATGGAATATGAAGTGACAACAAGCAAGTTTCCGGTGGGCAGTACAAGCCGTGACAACCCCGAGCGGCGTAGTGACCGGTGAAATGCAATTACACGCAGTGGTGGATACCATCGATGGCATTCGGCGACCCATTGGGCAACAAGGGTCGCTGGTGCAATCACCAGTACACTGGCCGGAACTTCTAAAGTGGTTAGGGCGGCCACAACTGCCAGAGCCTGTACTGTTTTTCCGAGTCCCTAGAGGATTAAAATCTGAGCGAAAAAATGGCAAGATGAAAAAAGAAAGGGAAACGGAAACGAGCAAAAGGAACCGGAAGCGAGCAAAAGAAAAGGTCAGAATGTCGTTGCAATACCATTTCATCGGCAAGGATTCCGCCTGCCCCTAGCTGAAAACGGTTCAGCAACCATTTGACACCCTCAACTTGATAAGGAAGTAATCTGGCATGTAGCGATGCTGGAATGCTCCATGGAGTCCCTTCGACACGAATGCCAGCTTTGGACTGTTCGACACCTTCTTTAAAATAACACGCACGGTATCTGATGATACGCTCAGCATAGGCATCGTCGTCGTAATCATCTTCGACCGTCAAGTTATTCTCTGCATCAAGTGAGCCACGTTCGTCCTCTTTATCGACAATTATTTTTAGATCTGCATCAGCCTTGGTATGTAACTTAGATACAACATCAATCTTTGGGTCTATTTCCAAATCTTGGGCATCCACGTCAATAGTGGCAAGCAGGGAGTTGCGTTCAGAAAGAGCAGTCATTTTTTTGTGCTCCGCGCGTGCATATTGCCTTGTGGTTGGGTTCTGGTGGCGCATTATCTCGTCGCACCGATCGACAACAACGGCAATCTTTTCCAGACGCCGTGTAATTCCAACAGCAGCATTTTTACGCAGGGCCTCGTCTAGCTCGGTAACGATGCGTTGTTCATACTCATCCTCATCGACAACGATAGCCAGCTTGTCAGAAAGGACCCCGCCGCGTGTAGACATGATGTTTAAATGTTAAAATTTAGAATTTAATTCCAATGTGGTACTATTGTCACACCTGCCAGCGTAGGTTTGACGCCGGCGCCGGCCCTGATGCGGTCGCAGTGGAGTCCTCGGAGTCTCCCATGTGCCTCTCATGCGGCGATGGGTTTGTGGAAGAGATTACGGCGAGTCCTGGTGCAGAGGATGCGCAGCAGCCCGCTGCACCAGCCATGCCTGCTGGCACATTTGCCTACCCCACTGCACCCGCAGCGGTCATCCGAATTACATTGCCAATTTCGTCGGCCGAAAGCTCGACTTCTCCAGATTCTACCCCATCACCTCCCAGTCTGCGTTCGCTGCCGGGATTCGTCCAATCTATTCTTGGGATTTTTACGCCGACAGGCCGTGGAAATGGATCCCATCGCAGGCGGCCAACACGTGAAAATGAAGCAGCGACAGAGTCTTCGCGAACCCGACCCCGCCTTTTTCCAGAAACACTACAACCTACCTTCCCCCAGACGCTTGCAGCAACGTTTTCAACTTCGATTACGGAAGAGGATCTGTCGTCGCCAGATGGACTACAGCGGCTTCTAATATCTCTGTTTTCACAGCTCTATGACTTGATGGCAGTCCAACCTGAAGGCTCTACGCCACAGGCGCCAGCTCAAGGTGTCCAAGTTGAAGCGCCAAATTTACCAGAAGACCCTCGGACAGAAACTCCTGGTGAGGCAGCTCCTGGTGAAGCAGCTCCTGGTCAGTCAGCTCCCACAACACCTCAGACGCCCAGTGACATGGTACGCATGTTATTGCAGCAGGTTCTTTCCGGCCAATCCCCCATCCAATGGGTAAGGATTCCGGCAATACCAGACCTGCTTGGAGACTATGTCTTTGGAGATCGTGCGTTTGATGACATCATCTCCTCATTGATGGAGCAGGCCTCTGGCCAACGGGCACCCCCACCGGCTCCCCAGGTCATTATTGATGCTCTTCCACGCGGACCCTACCACTCTAGTATGTCCATTCCCGCTCTTTTCCCGCTTTTTGTTTTTATTTCCCACCTGTCCATCTTACCATACTAGGCGAGAATGTGCCATTGGAGTGCACTATCTGCAGGGAAGCTTTTGTCGACGGCGCTGTATCCATATCGCTGCCGTGTAAACATCTCTTCCATGAACAATGCATTGTTCCGTGGCTACAACTAAATGGAACATGCCCCATTTGTAGGTCGTCCATCGAGAGCAACGAGGCCCAAACGGCGCCTGTTCTTGACGCACCAACCGAATAGCGAGTGACAAGAAGTAAATTACTGTAAATTGATGAATACTCGAATTTTGTCGTAATTTCAACAATATGTTATTAGCAAGAGGGGGGGGGTGCTGCACCAGCGAAGCGTTTTGTGAGGCTCTGCTCAAAATTGGAGCAGAGCTGGTGAAAATTAGTAGCCCTTCAGAACATTACTACCTCGTTTTCGATCAAGTCTGTTTTGACAAACATGCTGGGCCCTACTTCTCTAGATCTTTTTATCGCCCAACTTACAACCATGTTACCTTTTTCTTTGGTTCTTTTTTTCCCAATTGGTAAATTAATTTTTATTGAGTCATAACACGCTTCTGGTTGTTAAAGGTTTGTCTATCTTTATCACTGAATGAATTTAAAAGTTCTGTAAAGTCTTGTTTGCTAAGTTTGGTTTCCAAATATAAAAGATTCTGAAAGATAAAACTAAGTGAAGTTTCTCGCGGGTTTATCTTATCCTTGGATTTTGAAAGCTCAAAATATCTCTTTAAACTTAAAGCGAAAAGGATGATATTGCGGAATCGCTTCTGCGAAATGGATATGCTGTATTTTACAAGAATGCTAGAAATCCAAGAATCGATTTGAACTCGTTGGCTGGGACCTGCACCGTCTGATATGATAACTTTATCTGATGCATTTGTCTGATCTTCATTGTTTTCTAGCAAGTGATAGATTTTTTCGATCAGCGCCTCTAAATAAGCGTGAACCTGTTCATCTGTAAGAGAGTTGGGGAATAAATTAGATCGCATTAAAGGTATGTATGTTTCCTGGTCTATAAATTTTCCAAAAAAAAGGCCAGTGCCTGAAAGGATTATCACAAATTCCTTTGTTTTGTTTGGAAACCACCCTAGCAATTTTTTGAATAATGTGTCCTTATTTTTGAAGTCCAGATAAAAAATAATGGTAAAGAGAAATTTCACAACCGTGTCTTTATATTTTTCTGCTGAGCGATCAATTTCAATATAACATTCTTCGAAAAGAACCGGGTTAATGTTGCCAGACGAAGACGAGGGCAAGGTCTCGTCGTTATTCTGTAAACGAAATCCGTTTTCATCTTTTAAAAGATAATTTAGGGTATATTCTAAAAGATCATTCCGAAGTTTTTTGTCCGAAAGTGGGATGATGAGATCAATAACATCAAAACTATTGAATTTTTCACAAGTCTTGTACAAAATAGCGACAATAAAATCGATCTTATTTTTGACCTCCAAGTTAGGGTTAGAAACAAAATAGGAAAAAATTGGACGCGCAGCAATCATAAACTTTTCTTCTATGTCGATCCATTTAAGGAAATGATTGGCCATTTTTGACAATAAATCCTTGTCAATAATCAAAGGAGATTTTCTGTCAGGCTGTATGGGTATGCGTAGTATTTTTATGACATCTTCTAGGTATGTTTTTTTTGGTAAATCCTGGTTTTGCGGCTCAAGAGGATACATTTTCATGAAAATCTCAAAGTAGATGCTATCTGGCTCGACTTTCTCTTTGAAAGTATCGAAAAAGATGCGCTTTTGATTTTCCTTCCACGAGCTAACGAATTTATCCAGCTGCGGCTTGAATTCGGCAGCATTTCTTTGAAAAAACGATAATATCYGCGAAAACGCTTTCTTTTCTGTTTCTGTTGTTTGTAGATTAACTTCCGCCGCCAAAATGTCCTCCGAAGCCTGTGCTGGTGGCCTCAGAGCACGATTTTCGATGCAAAAGTTCAAATATTCTTCAAGTTTTATAGTGATTGGTTCCTTACAAGCCTCATCGTCTACATTATTATCAATTAGATATGTGATAAAAGACTCAAAGATGCCAACACTTTTCGACGGAATGGAATCCCAAATTTCAAGCATATTTTGGAGTTTTTCATTTTTACACAATTTGTCAAATAATTCACTTTTAAATTCTTCTCGTGTGATTGTTTTAAACAAATTTTTAATCACATCCACGTCAGCAAACTTTAAAATCAGGCCCATTGCGAGGTCTTTGTTTTTATCAATCAGGTAATTGAGGATTTTTTCAATCACAATATTCTTCATCCAACAGATTTTTTCTTCAATAAAATTATGTTTACTCGTGGGAGATTTGTCTATCCATGTATTTTTTGTTGCATAGATGCCCTGAAAACGGGGCAAACCTTTCAGAGAGAAAAATATTATGCTTGAAATTAGGAGGAAACTCCACAAATAGTGAAGCACGAAATATGATAGCTTTTCGAAATCAAAATACTTGAGATATTGTCTGAGTATATTTCCTTCCATTTTTTTAGAGTGTTTGTGAGTCTCTATGTCTTGTGCAAAGCTCGTATTATCATATCGACCACAACGGCTTTTTGGACACCTTTTCTGAATGAAATCACCCCACAATTGATTATTGATATAGTGATGGCTGCTTTGTTTTTTGGCTGTCTCATTATTACTTTTCAATAGCTCAGGCTTTGTTTTCTGCATACTATTTCGGATTAAAGGGGTCTCCTGGCCTGTCACGTTCATCAAACCTGCACAAACATCATCATCTGTGTTTGGAAAATTCTTGGCATCGGGGCTTGGCATATTGCAAGTAATGCAACTACCTTCCGATCTTTCTTTTGGAGTACAAGTGTCACTTGATACACCCTCGAGGCTTTTGGTGGAAGTTGGTGTGTTTTGTGAAACATTGACCACCCGTGTTGCTGTTGCTTCTGTTGTTGCTGTTGGTACATTTTCTGTCTCTGAAGCCGGTTTCTGATCAAGGATAGGGGTTTCCAAGTTGCGCAGATCTTCCTTATAAAGCTTTGAATCATCCCCTATTTTTAAAGGTACAACAAGATTTCCTTCTCTATTCATCACTTTCCTGATTATCAAAAGAATCGAGATACCTAACGATAGAAGGATGCCGATTTTCAGTATCGGTCTTATCGTCTTTAGATAACCCGACCCTTCCGAGAGCTCTTGTTTTATTTTCAAAATCCTCTCTATTTGAGCACCATCCTTCAAAAGCAAGTAGGCGATAAAAGCCAAACTGCCGAAAGCGGAACATGTTGAGGCAACCAATGCTATTTTCACCCTAAAGGCAGCACCAACTTGGTTTGTCGATGGATATTGGTCCAATCCGGCGTTTTGGATCGTATCATCAGCGATATTAGTCGTCATTTTGCTTTCTATGCTCACGTCTGGAGATTTTTGACTTTGTGGGAGCTTTTCGCGCTTCCAACGCGTCTTTTGTTGATAACTTTTTTTCTTATGTAAATTGTGCGCAACCAGTATCGTCGATATGAAAAGGAATAATATCGCAGCCAAGGCGCTCATGTATAGCACTGCTACTGCTTTCATTAAAAGCCTCATGCTCATCGCGGATTGTAATTGGCCATCTCTGAGTAAAAGTATCTTCGTTGGTACATTTTGATTGGCCAGTTGGTGTGAACCTTTTTATTTCCACGTGTTGGCAACATTTTTAAACATCGTTAAAGGAAAGACTCCCTTCCCCACTAGGCAAGCTGCAGGCGGGGTGCAATGTTCATAGATTGGAGCTCCTGCACCAACAACTTGAAGGCATATGGAAGGTGAACTTGAGATATCATTGTCTTGTTCCGACAAGCCTTGCACTCATATGTCATTTTTGACGGATTGGCAATTGCCAGCAGCCCGCATGTGTCGCAAACATGGACACGATAGGCATCAGAAACGTCAAAGAGCCGCTCCTTCAAAAATGCAGCTGCGCCATGTGCGATCATACAATCGCGCTCCATCTCACCAAACCGCAACCCTCCATCGCGGGATCGACCCTCTACCGGCTGTCTGGTGAGAATCTGAACGGGCCCCCTTGCTCGAGCATGGATTTTATCATCAACCATGTGCTTCAAGCGCTGATAGTACGTGGGCCCAATGAAGATTTGTGCGGCAAGCTTGCGCCCCGTGTGTCCATTGTACATAATCTCGAGGCCGCGGCTCTGATAGCCACACCGCCGCAATGCTGCGGAGATATCATCGACAGTAACATCGGTGAATGGTGTTGCATCTCCCTCATCGCCCGTACACGCTGAAACCTAAACAAGTAAAGTTAGTTGAGCATGCAGCAGCATAAAATAAAGATAAAAAGTACAAATCAGGGGTTTGGTTGCCGCAGAAACATACCTTTCCAAGAAGACATTCGACCAGATGGCCAACGGTCATACGGGATGGGATGGCATGGGGGTTGATGATAATATCTGGGGTGACACCCTCTCTAGTAAACGGCATATCTTCCTGGCGGTACGTGATTCCAATGGTGCCCTTTTGCCCATGTCGCGATGCAAATTTGTCGCCCATTTGCGGGACGCGTACAGATCGGATGCGGATCTTTGTGAATTTGAAGCCCTCCGCATTAGTTGTCAGCATGACGTTATCAACAACTCCGCGCTCAGAAGCCCGCAATGGTGTGCTGGCATCTCGAAACCGGCCTATACATTAGAGTCGCAATGGCTACCTGTTCCTCCTCCTCCTCCTCCCGTTGCGGTAGTACCTGGTGCAGCAGGCTCTGGAACTAGCTTGCCAATGATAATATCGTCACCAACAACATTGACACCTGGGGGCACAAGTCCGTCAGCATCGAGCTTTTCATATGTACCGTGTCGCATCCGCGTCGTCTGCTGATCATCTCGCTGCGGCTTGGCAAATATCTCTACAGAAGTAAACCCACGATCTTGCTCTTGATCCTGGTATGTCCGATAAAAAGTTGATCGAAACAGTCCACGGTCAATTGCAGACTGGTTCATGATGATACTGTCTTCCTGGTTGTATCCCGAATAGCAAGCAATCGCTACAACTGCATTCTGACCAGAGGGCAGTGCTCGAAAGTGTAGATATTCCATGGCTCTGGTGGTCACCAATGGCTTCTGTGGATAATAGAGCAGATTTGAGAGCGTGTCCATGCGCAGAAGATAGTTCGTCACGTACATCCCCATCGCTTGCTTGCCCATCGCCGACTGATACGTATTACGCGGGCTTTGATTGTGATCTGGAAATGGGATGATCGACCCACAAATACCCAGAATCATTGAGGGATGGATTTCGCAGTGTGTATAGAGATTTTCGCCAGACATTGCGCCCAAGTCGTCAGGAGTCATCGCGATAAGTGCACATTCTTCTTCTTCTACATCAAGATATTCTATGACACCCTCTGCCACAAGCTCGCCCCAGCCAAAGCATGAATTTACGTCACGCAAGCGTTGGACGTGTGAGCGCCTTAAAGCCAAGCGGCCACGCCCTTCCTCAACGATGAAGAGCGGCCGACATGCTCTTCCAGCATCGGTTGCCAATCTTAGCTCGCGATTTGGAATGTCCCTCACAATAGACACTTCCGAAGAGAGATCCAGACTGCGCCGCAATCGCCGCAATGTCCGCACCAGCTGTGCAGGATCCCTATGTATGCCGACCCAACAGCCATTGACAAAAATTTTGGTTGCCTCCGCAATGATGGCGGGTGAAATTTCTTCCAAATTTTCTGTCGTCCATTCTTCTAAAAACTCGATTATCAGGGCTGAGGAAGAGCCCACAGAAATATATGCCATTAGCGCAAGGTTCTTCACAAGTCCACACGCTTGGCCTTCTGGTGTTTCAGCGGGACAGACCATTCCCCAGTGCGTATTGTGTAGCTGACGCGGCTTTGCAAGCTTTCCTTCGCGGCCAATTGGCGTGTTCACCCGCCGCAAGTGTGAAAGTGTTGATGCATACGTATAACGGTTAAGGACTTGAGAAACACCAGCTCGTGAGGACATGGCATTTTTTTGCTCACCCCAGTTTCCGGTGGCCAATGAGTACTTGAGGCCCCCGCTGATCGTGGTACTCTTCACGGCAAGCGTCAAATTAAAATCCCGATTTCCGTCGACACACCGTTGAAGGTGACGGCCAACATCCCGCGTCAGCTTTCTAAATAGTGTGCGAAAGAGCATGGCCAGAAGTGGCCCTGCAAGATCAAGTCTTTTCTTGCCGTAATGATCGCGATCATCAAGCTCACGCCTGTCGAGAGCACCAAGCAGCAGGCGATGCGCCATGTATCCCAAAAAATATGCCTTTTTTGTCTCGTTGAACTCTAGCACGCCCATGTGCGGTAGCATCTCTTTCTGCAGAATCATTCGTGCAAAGGAGATGCGGCGGTCCTGTGGCGTCCCCGGTGGCGTGCCTCTTTTCCCAATAAAGTCGAGAGCATTGGTCTGGTCCTGTATCACAATTGCCTCTTCAATAGATGGCTTCAGAGCTGCAAGCATCTCAGCATCCTCGAAATCCCAGCAAATATGCTCCAGAATCTCCCGGTCTGAGACAAACCCCAATGCCCGAAATAAAATTCCAATTGGAATATCGCTCTTGACATAGGGAACAGCGACCCGAATCACCTTTCCACCCTCGCCGTTGCTCCCCCCTGCACCGCGTGTTTGAAGCTTTAGCGTAAGTGTCGTGGAGAGTTTTGATCCCTTTTCAACTGACGATCGGATCTCTGCAATATGAGTTACGGGGGAAGGTTGTGCTTTGGAAAAAACATAAACCACATTGGTAGCCATACGCTCTTGAGCAATTAACACCTGAAAAATTAGCAAGGTTGCGTGAAACGATCAAAAAGCCAGCAACGATAAAAGAGTACATAAATGTGGATCGAAAGTACCTTTTCAGAGCCAGAGATGATAAAATACCCGCCTTGATCGTAAGGACATTCCCCAAGGTCAACTAGCTCACGGTCACTAATGCCATGTAGGATACAGTATGTCGAGCGTAGCATAATTGGAATTTTGCCAATAAACACCTTGGGGAGCTCTTCGACCTCGTGGACGATCACATCATCGCCTCCATGCGGTGTTGTCGAGTCACCGCCAGAAACAATGCGCCGAGTAATGTCCACATATAATGGAGCCGCATAGGTCAGGTTTCGAAGCCGAGCCTCGTTTGGAAACATCGGATATGTAGAACCATCGGATTCTGTCATCGATGGCTTTGAAAGGTAAATTTGTCCAAAATGGATTTCGTGGCGACGTCCCCTCTCGGAGGCCAATGCATTTGCATTGGCGCACTCTACCACAAGATTTGCATTTTCATCCACAATTTCCTGCATCGTATTTTGTATAAACTCATCAAAGGAGTCCAGCTGCTGGCGCACTAATCCTTTCAGCTCGAAAAACGAAGATATGACGGTCCAACAATCTTCCTGTGTGACTATGTCATTTTGCTCATCGGCTTCTTGGGATTTGTTGATAAGCATCGTCTTGCCGAACGATGACGCTAGTTTGGGGGGATCCGCCATCATCCGATACGTTATCGATGCAAAATTAAAATTAAAGCCTTAAAACCAAATAATAATTATTTCAATGGCAAAATGTCACCACTCGGAATCGAACCGAGGGCCTTGTCCGTGTAAAGGACATGTGATAACCGACTACACCATGGTGACGGTAAAAATTGTACCAACTTTGAATATATTAAAACAATTTACCCTAAAACAATTCAGACTGCCAATAGGGCGCTCTAAATGGATCTCTGCACTCATTATTACCTTTGTGCCATGAAATACTCTGAACTTTGAAATCAATTGCAGCAAAACCAAATTTATCGCAAAAGTTTGCCTAAACGCCGGATTGCATTTAGTTGCGCTATGCAATTTCAAGTCGTTTTCCAATACGGCGCCTTAATGTCTCTTGCACGTCGATCCTTCAACTTTAGACATGCAATATTTTAAACCACCAACGAGATGATGGTGTGAAATTGTAGCTTTTGACTTGCATGTCACTGATGACGTTTCCTCTACATGGTAAAAAGCATATTGACACACATTCGCGCGTTTATTACCCAGAATGAGCAACAGGTGTTTTTAAACCCAAAATTGGTTTCGAATTCATTCATGCAAACAAATAATTTAAAAAATAAATAGGCAACTTGTTCAATGCATCGATGGCCTATGTCTTTTCGTCTTTTTTCTGTTTCTTCGCGCGCCTCGGCATCTACAGCGGAATCACAGCTAATGGCATTACTTTCACAGCCTAAATTAGAAGTGGAGCCGATATTTTCGCTATATTCGACCATCTCTGAGCCTTTACTGTTTCCATCAATGACGCTTTCCGTTTTAAGGTTGGCAATTCAAGAGCAAAAATATTCAATTTCAAAGCACATAATTTCATACGCATCTGCTTCACTTTATTCGATGCTATCGGTTGCAGATTATGAGCGTCTGATGGTTGAAGCGGACAAAAATGGCGACCATTTGGGCCAGCAGAACATTTTTGAAATGATCGAGTGCTCTCCCAACTGCCCGCCCACAGTTACCATTCTTAATTCGTTTCTTTCAGGGGGCTTGACCCATCATACCAATTCTCAAGATAAGCTTTCCAGCACCAAGGTAGATGAATGGATCATCCGTATCCTACGGCTCTTTAAAGCAAATTCTCTGCATCCAAATAGCGCCACCATAGAAATAATATTGACTCACTGCATTCTCAATGGCGATTGGAAAACAGTCGTGTCGTTACTTGAGCCCTCGTTGGGGCTTTTGCAACATGTTGGCCAGTCAACTGAATTCATTCAGTTTTTGTTGTACGAACTCGGTGCAGCAGGGCTTCCAAAGCTTGTTGTCTCCACGTGGAGGCTCTTTTGTCCCTCTGATGAGACGCTATTTCACTTGATTGCGCTAGATGCACTCATTTCCTCGAATGATGCCGCCATTGTTAAGGATGTCAGTGAAGTCTTCAATACCCTGTTGACTGTGATACGATTGCCCAAAAGCTCGCCCGTGCACGGTGCAACGCTGGCCTCCTTTGGAAGTCGTGTGTGTTCCCTGCTTTTGAGGGGTGCTCGTATCGACCTCCTTCTGTCGCATGTTGTCACCATGAAAAAAAATTCCATCGAAGTTGGGCCGCTTCTTTTTTTCAGGATTTTTGATGGTATTCTTTCGCAAGCCAGCTCTCCTGAGCAAGGGTTCGAGCATCTCGCTGCTTTTGTTGCGGGACTTGTGCAAGAGCTTGGCCCGGAATCGCTAAGCCCAGATCTCAGGGCAGCACTCATAAAAATTGCATCCCGACATCATGTTCCCTCCTCATTTATGGACCAACTCGAGCGTCTCGAAAAGGCAACCACCACAGCAAACACATTGAGCCAATAAATCTATTTATTAAAAGTCCTCGGGTGGAAATGATAAGGCTACCACCAAGCTAATTTAAAATTCCGATCCCTAGACCGCAAGATATTTGTACGCTACTTTGGTCTCCAAACCCCGACATCGATCGCACACAAATGTACCCAGAGGTAATTATTGTCTCAACAAGTCCTTGTCTGCGGGCCGAAATATGGCATTTTAAAGACTTGGTTCCTTTTTCAAGAAAGGCACGGTAAATATCAGAGGCTCCAGCATGTTGATTGCTATCATGGTAGCAAGTGTAATTTTGATGCCGAAAAGCGTACGGATATTACCTTTGAAAAGACATTTTCCGCGACAATAGCGATCCATATGCACTCAATCAAAATAAGATAACATTTAATAAATAAAACGATCACCCGGTTATGGGATTATCTTCTGTGTTGCCATACGTCAACCATGAACAAGAACAAGATTGAAATTGCTGCTCCGGACGCAAGCAGGGTGCAACATATCAAGATGAATTTTGGCGGACATTCAAGTGCAGCGACAAATTGCTCTTCATATGTATCTGCAACTACTGGCACGATATCTGCATTGACGACACTAGAGTTGCTATCAACAGGAGGGATCGATCCGATGCATGCTTCTCGCCATGAAATAAGCGTGCTTCGGTCGCATGTCAAGAAAATTAAAATAAAAACAAGCAGCGCAGCTAAAAGTAGGAATATTTCTATGGAAACTCGAGGTCGGCGCCGTAGCCCTGACCATAGGTCAAAGTCTGCCATAATAAAAGAACAAATGTAAAAATTAATTAATTGGCTGTAGGCGTCCAATCAGAGACCTCTCCTCGATATATATTTGTAAATCCTGCCTATCAGCTAATTTTCCGCAACTGCAAACAAACCTATGGTGCGAAGGATTTTAAAAAGCACCGGCCAATATTTCGACGGTAACCAGACTGCATGGTGGATCAATTAACGGGCAAGCAAAGGAGAAGAGATGTGGTTTATAGAAATTTACTGGATACATACATACGCTGATCTAGAAAAGTGGGCCAATTGAGCGCGAGTTTCCTTGGAAAGACCATCGAGGAGCTCCTTGGTAGACATCTGCACGCACGAAATAAGCTCCTGTTCGAGCTGGGAAATTGTCACTGCAACAACACTGAGCATATGCTCAGGTATGTCCAAAGCATCGCTTGCCATCAATCGAATGCTACCACTCATGTCGTTAGTGGCGCTCCACACTGGGAAAATGCCCTTGCGGTAGTCAACATTATTGGTAGCATTGTCTTTGAACTGACACACGGCGGAAATACTTGCCTCAGCAAGCGGAATAAGCTGTAGCCCCAATGTCTGCGCGCTGCGCCACAGTCGCAAAAGTCCTAGTGCTTCGCCTCCACTTCCACTCGATGTGGGGGTTGCAAGCACTTCGAGCGAAAAAAAACTTGGAATATCATTTAGGCCCTTAAGCAACGCCCCAAGGTCAACTGCAGAAGCGGCAGCAGCATGGATGAACAACCTTACAAGGGGTTTTGCCAGTCGCCGACGGACCCCTTCCGGACGTGGCCGTCCAAACAGGGAAACAACCGCATGGAAGATGAGAGGTCCAATTGAATTGCCGCTGTTTGCAAGCATCGTTCGCAAAACCCTGATTCCTGCCATTAGCTTGAGAGGTGACGAGCCGGGCGCTAAAAGTACCGTTGTCAACAGTGTACTAAACGCATGGTAGTGGTCTGTTCCGAGCAGGTTGGAACCCACATATGATTCCAGGACACGGCCAAGCGATCCCATAAGCCCAGGTTGCCACGTTTCAGAGCAAAGTAGCGCTGGTAGAAATTCACGTGCAAGCGCTAGTGTTGCTTGGGAGGGTCTAGACTCTTCAATGACTCCGGCTCCGAGAAGAACCCCAAGAAGAAGTAATGCATAAGATGCATGGTCTGCATAACCTTCTTGAAGCGTTAGGCTGACAGGGCAACCAAGGAGCTTATCCCTACAAATGGGACACCAAACACCAAGTAGTCCGAACGCCTCCCAAGTCCATCGTGTAAACGAGGGGTTTTTTGGAGACGGCCCACAACGTGCTATTATCACAGAAAGGCTTTGAATAAGCACATCCAATGCCGAGGGATCCAATCGTCCTTTCGAGTGATATAACAGATGCGCCATCAAGCGCATCATAATTTCAGGTTCATGGGAAAGTGAAACCACTTGCTCCTCCACCAGCTTGACCACTGCCACAATGGTTTCCAAGGCTCGCTCTATTGGAGAAATAATCTCTTCGGAATTGAGAGAAATTACACGTTCCAAAAACAGCGCAGCAGGGAGATGGACTAATGGGTTCCGAATACGTAAAAGATCTTTCATTGCCAAATTAACAAGCAATCGAAAAAGAGTAGGGTTAAGAGCTTTCAGAGCGTCAACTGAGCAAGTACAGAAACGAAGCGCCATTGATGCAAGAAAAGCAGCCGGCGATGACAGGGGAGCACAGGCATTGGATAACGTAGGAAGGAGCTCCACAAGAAGCGGCATTATTTCATGTTCCAAAACGATCACTGCTTGAGGGTTAGGGTTGTTTGTGATTGCTGGTGCAACATTGGTGGCTGCGAGTGTGGTTTGCACCTTGACAGCGGGAAGAAGCATGGAGATGTTTATGACAATAGAAGCCTCTCGTAGCCGCCAATTTGCGCTACAACGAGCGGTAGTCAAAAAGCGCTCAAGAAGCAATTTGACCGGTTCAGGATATGCCGTCATCAGGGCTCGTAGGACCTCTTCTGCAGCAGGCCGCCGCCGCAATTCTCCTTGGGAATGAAGGGCTTTCTTTTGGCCAGAGACAAACTCGTCCCCAAAATGAACAAGAATCCAATCGGTGGCTTCAGAAATCGTTGTTCCAACTGCTTCTTCGTCAGCCTCCTGCAGAAGCAAAGAGGGAAGCACAATGCGCTCAATGACTGCGGCCAGCATTGAGGATTCATCAAAGAGAACTCTGAAGCGGGGTTTACGAAGTACTGCTGCAACAACGCCCAGTGCCTCGCTTACGACCAGCTCCTGAGTAGAGGAACTGCCCATAGAAGAGGACAGCAATCGGAGTATGGAGATGACTAAAGGCACCAGATATTCCCCAACCTCTTCTTCATAGCGCACAACGTACAGCCGAATAAATTCGCATGCAGAAACTTGTACTTGAACCAGCTCCTGATCATCCCCCTGCTCGGAAAGAATTCGGTCAATGACAGGCACTATTTGAGTGCCGAAATTTTCCTCGAAAAACGCAGGAATGTCTTGGGCGGAGAGCGAATAAAATATCTCCAATAGAAGTCTTTGCTCACGAAGAAAAAAGCTCTTATCATGCGCGTGTTGTCCGATAAATATGGCAAGCAACGGAGCAGCTATGGATCCCATGACGGCATTGATTTCTCTGAAAAGACTATCAGTTCGAAACTCGTATCGATAGCGAGAAAATGTAGAAGTGCACACTTGCAACGCACAGCACCGTTTGAGCGGATCGTCTTGTTGTAATAGTGCCGCAAGGAAGGGAAGAAACTCGGGCCATTTTCCGAGCACAAAATCTCTTATCGCAATTTGAGAGATCGATTCTGAAATGATTTGAGAAATTGATGCATTAATGCATCCTCTTTGCAAGGCGTCAAGAAGAGCCCCCTTTAGATCTTTGCGCTCATCTGTGCTCAGCTCGCTGGTGGCTGGATCGGCAGCCTGTGATGCATCCGGCTCATTTTCAGCCATTTCATCTACCGGACAAGCTATTTTCCAATGCTTCCTAACAAAATTCTTTAAATATACAGCGGCGGCCATATTTGAGGGTGCTGAGGGTCCAAGGGATACCCCCAACAAATGTATTGAGAAGTGGGGAACTTCGCACTCCATCTTTGCCAAAATAGCCTCCGCTAAAATTCAGGCAATTTATGACGACACTACCTTCTTTTCTGTTTGTTGGATTCAATGTCTGCCCAAGAACGCTTGCTAAATGATGTAACCCGCTGCTATAGGTTTGCATTCTAAAATCAATTAAACTTTGACAGGATTTCCGGTTAATTAATTAAATTGGTTTTAATTTTACTTGAATCCGTGTGTACCCACCGCCATATGGAGCGTACCGCGATAGATCATGTGGAAAGGCGCTTTTTAATGTGCGCTTGTGCCTACGTTTCATCATAGTAAAAGCCGTGCTCGTTGTTTCTCTTGTGCCGGTTGTTATTTTGGTCCCGTTTTGAGTAATTTTAAACCACCAGCAATGGTCCAATTATTCTTTTTTCAGCAGGAATTCGTCTCGATTTCTGGTGCGCGCACAAGTGATCTTGTTGGCATCCCTTTATTTCCGGTATGATAAATGTACCTCCTCAAAGATCCTGTCAAACCTCTTTTCAATATTAATTTCGTTTTAAATTAATATGCTTTGTAAATTCATTTTACCATCCAATAAGAATAAAATGTACATAAACAAGTTTTAATCGAATATGAAGTCGTGCGATATCAGTTGCACGAATGGTCATTGTGCAGGCGGTTTGCACCAATAAGTAAATAGATCATTATGGTGTATAAACGTTAACGGGGTTTTTTAATCTACCGATGCGCTATTCTAATCATATCGTTGTAACATCTGTTCTTGTTTTAGTTTCCGTTACTGTTGTCGCAGTTTTGTTTTTTTGGAGCCCAGACTCCCTTTTAATAGCACCGGTAACGACCTTAGTATCCCAACCACTCACGAATGGACAAGTCATGCTCTCCCCCCAGCAAGCGGGTTTAAGTGCAGATGGAGAGCTGAAAATAAAAACGCGAGCCAATTCTATAGTTACAATGAAAAAAGCCATTGCTATTGCAACGATCTTTGGCGGAATTCTGGCTGGTGCCAGTTATTACGTAAACACTGCTGGCTTATCAACACTCGCTTCATCAGACAAAGATCGGCTGTTTTCCTTTGCATCCATCTTCAATCGTATTGCAAATCTCAGATTCGTTAAGGCCATAACGGCACTCAAGTCGAAGCATCTTATGAATCCGAAAAACTTTCCTGTCTACATTGGCGTAGCTGTCTTTGCTGTTCTTATTCCATTATATTACAAAGGCTATTTTGGTGACACTGGGAATAATGATGCGAAAAAACAAGAATGTGATAAAATCGGTGGTGAGTGGGTTAGTAGTAATCAAACTTATATCTCTCCCTTGTCTGCAGGCAAAAACTCCACCAATCATCAATCTGCTTCAACCAGTAATGATTCAACCAGTAATGATTCAACCAGTGATGCTTCAACCAGTGATGCTTCAACCAGTAGTGCTTCAACCAGTAGTGCTCCAAACAGTAGTGCTCCAAACAGTAATGCTGAAGCAAATAATTTAGGTACTGATCGTGTTAATGATATGAACTCAACTCTAACAGACCAAGAAAACAAAATTTCCACTATAGTTAGCAAAACGGTTAACCAAACGATTTCAAATGCTACAAAAGGATTAAAAAAAATTTACAATCTTGTTGCAGGGATAGTTCCTAAATCCGGCAACAAAGACGTCAGTGTGAACTCTGATCCATCTGTCCATAAACACACACACACTAAAAATACCAATTCAAAAGATCAAAATGAAGACGATAAACAACAAAAAAATGAAGACAGTACCAGTCAAACATGCTCAGTTCACGATCAAAAAACAGAAGAATCAGTGTGTCCTAATAACAATACCATGGATGAGAATGTTAAAAAGCTTGGTTCTAAATTTTTGAATATTAGTGTCGCGGGAGTAGAAACCGGGCTGACTATTATCAAACAACAAGCCCCCCCACCTGAATATCTTAACCAACTGATCTTCCACAACAATGGTTGGACTCCACGCTTCTTAGTCGCTCCCTTTTATTTCTTAACAAAACTTCCGTGGAAGAAAGGTTTCAATTCCTATTTAAATTATTCGTACATCCCATCTTGGTTGGATATTGGGAATATTGATCCGTCCATTAGCAACAATTTGAATATTGTACTCGGTTTCGTTTTCGCACTCGCTAATGGTTTTGTGTTGATAAAGTTATTGATAGCACAGCAAATTATGAACGGTGGTGTTTTGCCAAATTGTTCGGTTGGCGTTATCCTTATTGTTTTCTCAACCCTTGTTGACTTTTACATTGGGGATGATTAAAGTGCACAGATTGATTTCATCTTTAAAACCAATGTCTAATAGACTGGTTTAAGAGGCACATATTGAGTTAAATAAATCCCTAATAATGCACACCTCGGTTTTGATTGCGCACTTTGATCGTGATGGTGATGGAGGCAATAAATTGTTCTTTTTATAAAGTAATCAATCATTTACAAAAAAGCAATGCTGATCGCTTTCTTTTACCTCTGTGAGTACCAAGCAGCTTTCGAGAGAGCGGAATAAAAGAGTAAGATTTCAATACCTTCTGCGACGGGATAAGACGCTTTCGTCTCCTTTCCGGCGCCGCTGCACTATGCCGCTCGGGTTGTTCAATCGAGTCTATCTCTTTTTCTTCAACTGCAGGGTGGCAAGGATTCAAATGATCAATGAATTGATCTTCAGGTAGCACAAGACGTCCATGTATGTCATAGTTAAGCTCATCTTCGTCTTGCGAGTATTCCTGTTGATCCCGGCTTTGGACAGGCGATGATGATCCCCCTATTTTGGGCAAGCGATGGGACTGCGCTTTCCTGCGAAGACGGGAGCGGGCCTTTCTGACGGCCGTAACAATGCGTCGTTGGTTTTCAGGTACAAGATCCTCCATACCTTTCACAATAAGCAGGGATACAAATGAGCGCAGCAGTGGGGTTGGTGCGAGCGTAAATATGCGCTCCACCAATTTTCGCGAAGGAATCTTCTTGAAAATTGCGACCAAAACAAGCGTTGCATCCTCAACTTCAGTCCGTGCTTCTGGTCTAATATAATCGATCAGCCGAGGCAATTCCTTAAGATATGCAAATGGGGATGATGCTTCTAAAGAACCCGAAGATGCTTGCGAATGCTCATCGAATGGAGCGGAGTGTTCTGTTGATACCATGCAACCAACAGTAAGAGCCAGGGCTTTAAGAGATGCTGCGCGAGCAAGGGGGTGCGTGCTTGTAGCCACGCCTGCTGCGATTCGCCCCAGTAAGCGCACCATGACTTCAGGATGAGCCGCTGTAGCCAACGCCAATGTTCTAACCATCCGTGTTGCGCAAGTTCTTACAAATGACGAACGCTCTTTGAGCCCAAGCACAACCATTGCAAGAATCTTCGGCTCACTCTCTGTCAGAGCTGGGGTAAGTATTTTCTCCAACATCCGATAAGTAAGCTTTGATGGCGCTGCAGCTGTCAGAATACGCGCGACTTGAATGTGATGACTATTGTCGTCATCATTGCATTGGGTAATGAAATTTTCCAGTGCCCTTAACGGGGCCTTCTCTGAGCTTACGCTATGTGCCACTGCATGCTTTAGTAAAAATTGGAGTGCATCCGATGATCTCGGAGCCAAGACCGCTAGTATGTCCCATGATGTTGGGCACGCAGAGCACACAGTTGGCGCCATCATCGACCCCTCTATCTCTGACATTATACGCTGCGAAAGGCCGATGCATTGAGTTTCGGAGAGAAAGTTTCTTACAAGAAGGCCAATTACACGCAAAAGATCTTTTCTCTCACTCGATGCAACCTCTCCTAATGCCGTGGCAAGCTTTGCAAGCAAGGGAATGGGGTCACAACTCCCACGATCAATAAAAATTGAACGCATCAATACTTGGACGGTCAACACCGACGAGTCATTATTCATGGCCTGTGCAAGCCAGCAAGCAAGAGCCTCTGTGCAAACTCGCAATGTTTGTAAAAGCGAAAGCAGCTGTATGCGCCGATGAACAGGCACGGTTTGCGAGAACGGAACTACCGATGCCATGAAAAAATCGGTGCTATTCCGATCCGTGAACACAGCTGACGAAATCAGAGCCCCAACTACAGATTGGGTCTTCATTTGCTCGCTCTCTTCTTCTTTGTGACAGCTATTTTCTGGATTGAAGAGAATATGCGAGCATGAGGCGAGGGTAGCATATCCTTTGACGAGGATACGGATCAATTGTGAGGGAAGCTTGTTGCCAATTTTCAAAAGTGCAGTGATCAGCTTATCCTTGGAAGGGCCAGCCTCTATGTGCTCAAATGCACACTCTACCACCGATAAAAGCAGTTGTTGATCGACTGGAAGGGCTCGTTGAAAGAACAAGTAAAATTTCGACGGCGCCACAATTGAAAGCAAATAACCTAGTGCGGCTATTGCAGTCGCATTATTTTCTTTTGATGCAGCTGCCTGTGAATGTTGGTTTACCATCACAGGTGGCTGTTTTGCATCGGATTTGCAATGCAAGGCCGATATTTTAAGGGAACGAGTTGACGAAATTAACGTTAAACCATCCCAGAGGCATTCAATCAAAGAAGCAGATGCTGATTTCAAAAGGGCAACTCCAATCGCATTGCGCTCCTGAGAGACTAGCTTTGATGCAAGTAAAAAAGTGGCTGTCTTCTGTTCGGCCGCCTCATGTCCATTTAAAGTTGCCAACATTGCCATCAGTGCGATAAATATATTTCTTGGCGAAGCAGCTTCTTGTAGTTGTACGCGAAGCAGCTTTTCCAGCGGCAGAACCCCCGATTCATGGGCATGCAGCTGCATGTTGATATCAATGAAAAGTGAAAAAAATTTAAAACTCAAATTAAATTTAAACATTTACGTTTTAAAAACCAGCCGAAATCAGGTAATCCGCTAGTTGCTCCACCACTGCGGTAGCATTGCCGGGGATATGTTCTGAGCCATATGTTGCCACTATTATTGTCTGGCCAGTTTTCACAAACAAAGCTCCGGAAGCGCCATTTTTGCCATATATCGATCGGGAGTCTGCCCTCAAAATAATGTTCTACATGCGTAACCATATTAACATTAACTCTCTTACCCTAACTCCGGCGATATATAGCCCGCGCTCACGGGCTTTTGAGGCATCCCGAAAAGCCTCTATTAGGCTCGATATCTCCTCAGAGGATAGTTCAAAGTTTGGAGAGGATGCCCATATTGCTCCGTCATGGCCAAGAATTGCAGCTTGCGAAAGCTTGTTTGTCTCAAGCAGACAGGAATCAACATATTGTTGCCAGGAATCGTTTGATGACATGCTAAAACTTTGAGAGATAACTTTGAAAAGTGAAAATTTACGATAGCAACCCTAAATTAAAGGGGGTTCCTTTATTTGCGCACGTAAAGTTTGTGGATGCTGCCCTCTATTTTTGGCCAGTTTTGGTGAACAGAAGCGAAATATTGACGCCTCCAAATCCAAAGGAATTGCTCATCAGATGCTTTACAAAAGGCATATGAAGGGCGTATTTTGCAGGGTATTCTATATTCGAGGATCCTTCGATGCTTTCCAAATCATACTGCTCCAAGTTAAGGGTTGGGGGTGCTATGTTCTTGTCATGTCAAATCCATGTACTTACATGTTTCAATGCCAAAACTGTGAACAAGGCTTCCATAGCGCCGGCTGCACCTAGTAAATGGCCAGTAGCTCCCTTTGTGCTTGAAACCAGAAGCGGGATGCATGGGGTTACATGTCTGCATTCTTCAATATCAAGGCCCCTTCTGGATGCCAAATAATTTCTATCATCCGATGATGTCTGCCCTTTCACGAAAAGTTCTTTTCCTGCAGATTCCGATCTTTTCAAAAGCGGGGTCTTTGTTTGATTTTTCTGATCGAAAAGCTTGAATATTGCGTTTCCCTCAATTTTGTCGCCTACAATAACATGCCAAATCATACCAATTGGCGTGGAAGTAGCATGTGCATTCAAATATCCCAGCTCTGAAGGGGCAATCCCTGCACGAAAAAGCGCTTTTTTCATGCAGGAAATGGCCCCTTGGCCCTCCGGATCTGGCGCTGTCAAGTGATAGCAGTCATCTATGGAATTTGATAGCATAGGAACGTACTGTTCACACCAAAGCCTGTTATTTCTGCCAGAATGGCTGCTCCTCTTCGTTTGGCGTGTTCCAGCTCCTCGAGAATCAAAACAGCCGCACCCTCCCCGAGAACAAACCCCGTTCGTGCTTTATCAAAAGGTCGTGAATATGACTCGATAGGCCTCTCCCCGGCAATTTCAGCCAACGCTCTGATCCTATGATATCAGCATGGCTAGCTGGCATATACTGGTTAAACCCAGCTACTATTAACGGATTGATCGGGGCTTCCGAGGCACCAACTACCATCACATCTGCCTCCATATTTGATATCATCAATATTCCATCGACAATGGATGATGCTCCTACATGCTAATTCGAGGGTAGTCTTTACCGGTAGCGCACGAGCTTGAGATTGCATTGAGGGGCCCCTACTGTAATAAAAATTTGCTCAAATGGAATCGAATGCAATGGTTGAACAAGACGAGCAATCGCTACACCAACTGACCTTGAATCCAAAGCCTGTAGATACAAGAGCGGCCGCTGTATTTGCCAGAATTGATGTGATAAATCGTGGGGAGATTCTTCGGGGACCCTGGTCATGGAGAATCCCCGTTGATTGGCCAATATCTTCAATTGATCCCAGCCCAGTGCCTAGCGAGCATCCCTAATCTCTAAGAAAACATGGGCACCCCACAATTCTTTCCATGCTGATGTTACTTGCAAGGATATTAGAGCTCTCTATAGCCTCTTTTGCTGCAATCGTGGCCAATCTGATCCATCGTGGATATTTTGCATTGGCCTTTAGAGCCAGGGCAGGCTCACATTTGTCTGGGACCCTTGCAAGAGGAAATTTTTTGCCACTCTTTGGCAAGGTGAAGACTGAAGTTATTCCCGAATGGGCACAAATAAGCCGTCGCCATGACTCGTCCACGGAGCAGCCTAAAGGATTGATGGTGCCCAGTCCGGTGACCACTACGCGCCTGCCGACAAGCATTAAATTAATTATTTGTAGTTTATTGACCATGGCCTTCATTAGCAAGAGAGTAACGTCGCCAGGATGGTGAGCAAAATAATTATTCCAACAAGAGCCGGTGGAAACATCATGGAATCATGTGATCGCAAAAATGGCAACTGGTCTGCAACTTCTCTAGGAACGATTCCGGACGTAAGGACACATGAGCCATATTGATTGTTCGACGAAAATTGCCTCTTCTCCTAAAACACGAGATCAATAACGGAATTTTTACATATTCAGCAATCGGTTCAACACTAAAGAGACATTTCAGCTTTTTTTCTACAAGAGAATCCTTCTTCTTTTCTTCTAGCTCACACCACTAAACGAGAGTAACCGATATCTACTTACGTATTGCGTAGAATGAAGTTCTTGTTCCGAAAATTCAAGCATCTCTGAGGGAGAAAGCGGATGTCCAATGATCAGGAACTTGTCTTTTCTTGGCTGCAACAAAACTTTTGATCATCAACAAAGAAAAGATACCTTTTATGGTGACATAATCTTTGGGAGGGACAACTCCGACGTTCGGACTTACACAATAGTATTTTGGTGTCGTTGTCTTGATTTTGAAGGCAACTGTATTGATGGGGCTTGGATTGAATATTTTAAAGGACTCTTGAAAAATTTTGTCCGAGCATTCTAGAAAAATGAACCAAATCGGAACCTTGAAGTTGAAGAGATGTGTCCGGGTCCAAATTAAACAATCCTGTCTTTGAGGGGTCGGCGGAGACCGTAGGGAGTGAGTTCTGGGAACTGGTGGATCTCAATTCAGCAGCATTCATTGTGGGATTTGAAAGCAATAAAATTAATCGAGAAATGGAAATTTTAATTCAAAACCAAATTGTGTGTCCGTGTAGAGCATGAGCATGGTTGCTATTTTACAATTGCAACATTCCAAAGGCTATAATAGCAAGCCTGCTAAATTTAATGAGTGCAATAATTTTTCAGCTTTTAATTTTAATTTAAAATTTAACTAATGAAGTTTGACCAGGACTCGCTTGGCTCACTTCAGCGGTATTTGAACAGCCGTCTTCCTGTCTTGTAAGTTGCATTGGATGTTACTTGTGATTTAGGTTTGACGCAGATTCGGAGATACTTTCTGAATACATATTTGCCCTGCTAAAGCATGACAAGCCTATTGACGAGCTGAAGTCTATTTGCCTGATAAAGCTTGATGACTTTCTCCATAAGCGTATGATGGGACAATTTTATTTCTCATTATTGATAGACACGAAGCCATTTGTGCAGGGTTTATTTGATTTTCTTTGCAAGACCATGTCTTTCCCGGAAAATATGTCTCCGCACAATCGTAGCCTCTTGTCAGCTAGATCACGCTCAATTTCTCCTGAACGGGAAAGCTCCTTTCCCAGGCCTCCACATCGCACCTCAAGCATTCTGGCCCCAATTGATTATAGATGGAAAAGACGGAATCTCAATAGCCATCCGTTTTCGTCCAAATATCGAAATGATTCGCGGGAACATGACCAAGAGGACTTTACGACATATAAGCCTACGCATATGACGAGATGCAAAGATCCGACTTCAGTTGGAAAGAACATCAAAGGCAGACAACTATTTATTTCAAACGTTCCTTCTTTATTTACGGCCGAAAAAATAGAAGCCTTTTTTGCCGCGTTTGGACATGTTGAGCGGGTAAAAATTCAATTTAATGGGGGAGAGCGAAACTCGGCCATTGTAACTTTTCAACAAGAGGCGGATGCCCGGATGGCTTCTAAATCAACTGACGCTATAATGGGCGACCCTTCTATTAAATTGAACCCACCTCTTCGTGAAAGCAGAGAGCAAGCCATAGACTCTCTCATTCAAAAGCAGAAGGACATAATTAAAAAATTGGAAGACCCAAAATTTGACATTTCCGAGGAAGAGCGCAAAGCTCTTTTTCAGTCTCTTCGCTCGGTTCAAGATAATTTACGACCGTTACTCTCGGCGTCCCAGCCTTGTAGGCCAGCCTTTGAGCATAAAGACACGCTGACACCGGCAAACAAAATCTCAAGACCTCAGAATATCGATAATCGCCCGAGAACGCTCCACGTTCAAATGTCTTCATCAACAGACATCGATTTTGTCAGGAGTGTTTTTGGCAAATACGGTCAAATTGACGAAATATCTTCTGATGCAAATTCAGAGCAAACATTTTTTGTAAAATATTCTAGACGATTTGAGGCGGAAAATGTAGGGATTGTCTTTTAACTGGTAGGTATTAAAAACGCTACCCAAAATCATACCCCTAATTTTAGCCCAGGGAACTAGGGTAACTTGGAAAGAGCATTAAAGTTTAATTTTTAATAAATTTTTTTATTCCAAATGACTTCCGTTTTATCGCTAACCAAGTATGTTCAGTGATTTCATCCATCTGACACCATCAGCCTAGCTCATATACGTCGGTGTATATGGAATTGGAGGATTAGCCTAGCACGCTATTCTCTTAAATAGATATCCCAGCAGCATTGCTGTTGGCATATTCTCGTTATCTCTTGATAACGGATTTGTCGGAAGTGTTTAATCACACTCTGATCAAATAGATTTGGCTTTATTGGTCAAATGCATTCATGCATTTATTTACCATTTTAATGCCATTTACCTTTTAGAAATGCTTCGGTTCCCGAGTCGATTTTGAAAAAAAGGAGAATCGTTGAAAATCACGCCGCTATGCGCCTAGCCAATCGTGCAGCGCAGCTCAAAAAAAACAGGACCATGAAAAAAGTGGCGTTTAAGCGTGCCGAGGATTATGCTAAGGAATATATTGCCAAAGAACGTGAGGCTATTACCATGAAGCGCGAAAGCAAAGCTTCTGGTAAGATATATGTTCCCGCAGAGTCTCAGCTCGCCTTTGTTGTCCGCATCAAAGGGTAATATGATTTCCAGATTTTTGTGCACATATTATGATGATCCCATTGATCCACTAGTGTTTTTTACGTGCTGTGATCGTTAACCATCTTTCGGGACTGAATATGAATTTTCATTGCTTTCTCGCTACCATGTTGGCATTTTCTCATTTTGTAGTATTAACAAGCTTTCGCCAAAGCCTCGCAAGATCCTGCAGCTCCTCCGCCTCATCCAAATCAACAATGGGGTTTTCGTACGCCTTACGGCAGCGACCAAGAAAATGCTCCACTTGGTTGAGCCATATATTGCCTATGGCAATCCCAACCTGAAGTCTGTCAAGGAACTGATTTATAAGCGCGGTCATGGCCGCATTGATAAGCAACGTGTTGCTCTCACAGATAACAAGCTGATTGAAGCAGCTCTCGGCCATCTTGGGATTGTTTGCATTGAAGATCTTATCCACGAAATCTTCACCGTCGGCCCTGCTTTCAAGGCTGCCAACCAATTCATTTGCCCATTCAAGCTTTCCTCCCCAAATGGCGGCTTCCGTGCTCGCAAATTCAAGCATTTCATCATTGGAGGAGACACCGGTAACCGCGAGGAGTTTATCAATGACTTGATTCGCAAGATGAATTAGCGCGAATAAATTATCCTGTTTTGACTCGGCTCCATAGCTTGTCCTGTTTTGACTCGGCTCCATCATTTAAGGTTGGAGTTCGTATTTTGTAGACTGTCCTATAATTGACAACTCGAGATCTTTCCCAGAATTTTGGGCATTCAAATATTAAAATTTGGGCACAAAATTTAATAAATAAATCTTTATGAAAAAGGGCGAGGTTCTATTCTTGAAGGGCGCGGCAGCATTTCGGTCGCGTGTTCTACTTTCTTTCCTATCTTCTCGCCCCATTCAGATCGAAGATATCAGGTCAAATATTGGTTCAGACGGAATAGGGCTTCGAGAATATGAAATCCATTTTCTTAGAGCCGTTTCTCAGCTTACAGACGGTACTAGCATAGAAATCAACGAGTCAGGCACATCGGTGAAAATTGTTCCCGGCATCATCATTGGAGGATCCTTAAATTTTGATTGCGGTGTGGAACGCCCAATCGGATACTTTCTTGAAATGCTGGTCCCCCTTTGCCTGTTTGCAAAATCGCGAACATCCCTCACTCTCACTGGGATTACCCAATCTTCGCCAGAAGCCCCATCAGTAGACTCCATAAAAATGGTCAATTTTGGCATCCTCAGGGCCTGGGGCGTCAAGGAGTCCACTTTAGATATCAAAATCCAGAAGCGGGGATACTCTCCAAACGGTGGCGGTCAAATTCTTTTTACATCGCCGCTTTTGCCGAGGGCCTTTGAGCCCCAGCAGCTCATTGATATTGGATTGGTTAAGAAGGTTCGAGGGATTGCCTCTTGTGCGAAGCTTTCTCCCTCCATTGTGGCAAGGGTGATTGATTCGTCAAAAATGACGCTTTGCAAGCTGCTTCCAGATGCTCTGATATATTCAGATGCGAGGAAGGGATCCGAGGCAGGATCATCGCCAGGCTATTCGCTGACAATTGTGGGCGAGTCTACATCAAATTCTCTGATCGTTGCAGAGGGTGTGGCCAATCCGGGAGAAATCCCAGAGGACCTTGCAAATAGGGTAACAGCTACCTTTCTCTCAAGGACTGCGACTATTGGGTGGGGTGATTCATCCAGGCAATGGTTCATACTGCTTCTTGCAACGCTTTCCTCTGAAGATGCGTCTTCGATTCGCTTGGGGCCGCTAACTCCATTTTCGGTCGAGTTTCTGAAACAATTGTATCTCTTTTTTGGCATTTCTTTCAGGCTCAAGGAGGATCAAGACAACGGAAGCGTTTTGGCCACGTGCATTGGGATCGGGTTTAGGAACATTGCACATCGTTCGACATAAATTATTTGCAGTAAATTATTAGGAGGCATCACAGTATGTAATGGTGCACAGTATGGTGTACACGCGTGAGCTTTTCTGCCTGCTCTCAATTGGCTGGCTATTGAGAGCATAGTTGGGCATTTGAAGCACTTTTATTTTGCCGCTGTTTCTCATTGTGAGTGCATCATGTAAGAGGAAGATGAAGATGGCGGGAAAGGATTGACCTTGCTGAGGACCAAAACCCTCTTTTCATGGTGAAGATAGCCCTTGATGAGCCCGTTGGATATTAGCATTGAAATGAGCGCTTCGACTTCGAAATTAAGACAGTGCGGCCTCGTGGTATCGAGAAATGGGAAAATCGTCCATGCAACGGATTTTGCGCAATCTGAACATCTGGAAAGGTCCTTTTGGATCATCGCGATCGCAGTAAGGATGTGTGAAATGGGAAGCCTATTTTCCGGAGGGTCCTCTCTTCGCGTAAATAAATATCTACAAAGTAAAAGGGAAAGTGGCGATGGTGTTACATTTTCTTTGTGAAATTTGCAAGAAGCATAGGCTTGAACAGGAAAACAAAAAGCTGATACAGATGTCTGGATTGTAAAACAGACTCGTATTGGCTAAGAAACACCGAGAATGAGATGATGTCTCCATTCTTGATGGAAGAAAACAATTTCAAGAAGCAGTCTTTTAGTGAGAGAAAGGCATTAACCGATCGAATCGTGGAGAAGCAAGTCGAGTTGGAACCACTGCATGCGGCAATTTGAGATAAGATTGCCGGAGATAGCACCTTATTTGAGTAAAAATACTCGAGAGGGAGTAAAAGGCAGGTGATTTTTAAGAAATTTCGAAATCTCGACGAATTGGCCATTTTAAATGAAAACTGGGGAGCCAGCAAGTGGAATGCATTGGCTAGATTCTCCTTGGCGCGAAAATAATTGGCCTCCACAATGAAAAGCCTAGCTCGATTAAAGTACCAGTACACGCGATCCTTCGTGGGAAAGTCATTGAGATTGGTTGAAGATGAATTCTCGATCGATCTGAAGACAGGTGTACACATACGAGTACGAGAAAGCTATGAAGGTAAAGAAATCAAAAAATGGAGAGCCACACCTTTGCGTAAAATTCCAATAGCGCAGCGCCAGAGAATAGGGTTACAGACTGCTTCTCGGAGGAAACAAGGGAGCGGTCATTGATGGTGATGGAGAAAATTTTAGACAATAATTTACAATACTCCCTCAGTAAATGGGCCTCAATTTCATATAGCCTTTGCGAAGCACTTTCCAAGGAGCACAAATTGTCGTCAGAGTCCTCGGTGCCCACGGAATCGACGCTTGGCATTGGATATGTGCCTTGAAGATAGTTGAAATACGCGAGCAAGTTGTCGCTTGAAGTTGTTTCCAAACGGTTCAGCTAGAATTGACAGCAAAATGAAACTTACCCTTCGTAGGGCAACTTGAATGGTTCTTGAGAGGGACTTTATTTGAGCATATAAATTGGAATTTTCAGAGCCCGAAGCCAAGCGCTTAAGAATGGTGGAAAGCGAGTCAAGCAGGACTCGCACAATCAGCAGAAGAGATCCGGAAGCCAACGCCTTGTTTGCGGGGCTAAGAAATTGCCCATACTTGGCACTCCATTCAGAAGCCGATAAAAGCGATGCTTCCGATATCAATCGATAAAGGGGCGATTGGTAGAAAAACTTGACATGAACATACCACATTGTATAGATGAGAATAAATTCCTTATAAGAGCTGGGATCTGAACCTTCAGGAGCATACGTTGATGAGGAAAATATTTGCAACACCGGGGGAATGGCCTGAAGAATGGCCTCGCATGTGGCATTTGCCAGCCCCTAATTATCCATTAGCGAGCATGGGGCTTACAAATCCGGATTCAAGCTCTAACAGACATTTTGAGATCTCAGCAGGAACCTTAGAAACAGAAAATGGATCGTAAAACGAAGCCAGTTGGTGGCCTGAGGCCTGTTGAAAGTCAAAAAAGGCGGCCTGCATAAAAAATTTTGCAATTAATCAAAGGGAGCAATTAATTGGCAACTCGGTGGCTTTGATGCACACATGGGTATGAAAATTATCGCTACACAACACAGCGGTACACATAAAGTGGACACGATACAAAATTCTGATGCCTAAAAGGTGTGGGTTTTATTGTACCCAAGTTTTTTCCATTCCGTAAAGATTACCGATTTTTTGCATCTTTTTGGGACGCAGAAGGCCAGCAGCAACGGCCTTCTTCACAAAAAAGCGTTCTTTTCAATAAAGTTGCTTTCAAAAATGAAATTCTTTTAATGATATTCTTAACGAGATTTATAATGGCAGCACCAGCACAGTGCTCAATGACCCATAGAAAATGCTGATATTTGCATCTTTGCATAGGCAGATGGTAGCATTTCCACGCGAAGTCTTTGTTGAGAGTCGGTCCATATCAAGTAGGCCCACATCTGGGACGTTGGCAATAGCATTTTTCAAGAGAGGTTGATAAACTGAGCACAGCGAAACGAAAAAATATCCGTTTGTGCATAAACTAAACTAGTGTCAACGCCCAAGCTCTAAATTCCAACAGAAACATTCAAGGCAACGCAAAGTCAGCCATCAAAGCTGTATCTCTATGAAGTGAGATCGTTTGCTTTTGGAGATCGTTTTGCTTAACGAGGGCAATATTAGCATTGGTGGCTCAAAGATCATAGGTGGTTCATTGGGCAAAAGTTGAGATAGAGTCATTTTAAACAGTAAAGGCGGCGTCAGAGATACTAATATTCAGGCCAGTGGCAATGTAGAGATCGGATGTTGCGTTTTCAGAGCCAATATTTGAACTGAAATTGAGGATGTGCATCTCTGGAAGCAGGTTAAATGCATACAGGCATTAATTTCCAGACCCAAGCAGTGGCACCAGATCGATAATACGAATGACACTCATATCGGTGTTGCTAGGAATCCCGAGCAGAAGACCTGTATGAGTCCTCATTATACTGACGGATGAGCCATCGTACGTGCCATTGCAAAAAGCGGTATGGGCTATTTTTTAAAAAAAGTCGCCGCTTCGGTCTTTTTCCTGTTTGCCACGAATTTTCTGGCCGGATTTTAGAGCTTCTTGCCATGGTGCAACTGTTGTGCTGCTTATAAAAAGTCTTTAATTTTTGTAACCATTCTTGGAATTGGATGATCAAGACTGTAGGCTTGCGACTATGAACCGATAATTAATGGATGGTATCCAAACTTTTGACCGCTTTGGGATTTAGTCGGTTCTTTCCGAGCCTTTTAGGAGTGCCGAAATGTCACTTGAAAAATAAAATTCGAAACAAAAAATAGTGCTATAATCTATCGCATGTTGAAATATATTCGTCTTCGGGTCATTGGCACGTACTTTTTCTCACTTTCCCCCAACTTTGATGGCTGGGGACGAAGAGAAGGATGAAGGGCGACCAATCCATATTTATAGCAAGCCCTTAAAGTACATTTTTCGCTGGACGTGCCATAGTGGCCTTTTTGCGTAAAGCATACATGTTCAACCCATTATATTTGTCAAGCGGTCCTGTCAGTGCACAAGGCCTGCTGGGGCTGTTCAAAGAATTTCGCACTGTTTTGTATCTTGGTTCCTTTGCCTTTATCACATTTTCCTGCAGTATGCATAAGAACGCGCGGATGAGCGTCTTTATCGCCATTTATCACTGTCGTGATCTTGGTTTTTTTTTGGCGTCCGTTTGTTTGTGGTCTATTTCTGCAAAGCTTCTTTTGGAAACAATAAAGCTCGTAGGCCGATCCAATGTCTTCCCTTTCTATGCAAATTTAAATAAGCTCCAAGCCCAAGTCAAACGATGTCGATACAAATATGAGCAGCGAGAAAAAGCCGAAGCCCAGCCAAACACAACCGGGTCAGAACGCAATCGAGTCGTAATAACAGAAACCACACGAAGGGAAAGCGGCATAATTGAATGCTGTCCCGGGCTAATTTATCTCTAGGTTCCTCAAAATCAGAACCTTAGTAAATAGGGGGCTCCAGGAAACTCGCGAAAATAAAACCTAAAATGCCAAAAGAGCTTGATGGACAAAGAAATTGAAGATTTAGAATTGCTACGCTCAAGTCGCTAATGAAGTGCCTGTTTAGGAGTGCGGTCCGCATGATGCATTTAATTATTTATTGGCTATCGCACAAATAGAGATGCTTCGTCCATTCACACCATCGCTTCATGACGATTTTCACTTCAGAATTTGCATCAGTGTGATTCTCCGAGGTATCCTTTAACACTTCTTTTTGCGGTGCAACTTTCCGAGTCTCGCCCCAACTAAAATCATCAAAGTGCCAATACGCATATAATGGAAGAACAAAATTCCATATGGGAAGGGCAAGCAAATATATTAACATCCAACCGATGTACACAAATTTCCTTGTCGTGATCAGTATCAGGATAGCCGGCAATCCCAATATCAATGCCAATAGTGCCAAAGGGACAGCAGCCGCCACTGGATCGGAAATTGAAACGACAACCAAAATTGCGGTAAACGTGATTGCTGCTGGAAGGACCAGCGTCCCAATTAGCTCCATAAAAACAACAAATTGCATGCTGCAGCAAAATATTCCACAAAGATCTCGGACAAGCAGCAATTCCAGGAGATTATGAATGGTGGAGTTTATCCATCTTCGCCGCTGTGAAAGAAGAATGGAAAATTTTGATGGGACCACGGTGCGACACAATGCATCTGGGACGAACATCAGCTTTCGCTTTGGAAAGGACTTTAAAAGCAGGGTGGATAGATATCTGTCTTCCCCGAGAAGCAGCAGGTTCTTCTTGTGAAGGGTGTCGGTTTTGTTTTCCGCATATTTTATCGCAACTTCGGGGCTCGCCAAGAGAGGAACCCAACCCCCATTCTTTGGTGCCTATTAAATCAGCAAAGCCGATGGCCAGTACCTTAATCCTATACATGCAAAAGCAGCCGGGAAGGCAAGTAACACCGCCAAATACACTCTCAAAGGCTTTTCCAAGATGATGGCTTATGTAGTATTCAAAGACCTGGATCATGGTGACCCATGATTCTCTCTTGTTGGAAATGCGCGTCTCCCCACAGAGCCCCATAATCATAGAGTCTGCTTGAAGTGCATTGACAAGGATTCTCAATGCCCGCTTATCAACTTTGGTGTCCGCATCAACCATCAAGACCGCCTCAAAAAGGTCTGCAGTGACCCCGAGAAGTATGAAGATTGAATTGAAAATGGCGTAATCAAGCTCTGTCATTCGATCATCAAACAATACGCGTATCAAAAAGTGGATCAAAATTATCTACAAGAAAAGATGCTCCTCCTCCTACCTGAGAATCTCTTTTCCCGCGATTTCCAGGACGGTTAGAATGGGCGATTTCAGATGAATTGATCCCCGTTTTGACAATTAAAAGCATCGGGATTCTTGCCCCCGTTCCACGTGTGGAACCATAGTATCCAGCGTAAACGAGAGCCCCATTTGAACTGCGCATTCCCTCCCCAATCGAGTCGTATGTGGCGGGAAAGCTGCTCGATCCAGTGGAGGACCTTAGTTGGAAAGCAATTGTGTCGCTGCTCATCAGAGAAAGAAGGATGTCCGGCGTGGAGTTGGCATTTTCAGATCCCGTTACTATACCGTCAGCAACGACAAGTAAAAGTCTTTTTTCGTCATCATATTCGGCCTCACAGAGAGAGTCAAGTGTAGTTACGATTGCGTCCTTGCCCTCCGAATAGCAGGTGACCAAAAGCAATACGTACATGTCGTCGGTTGAAGAAATCTTTGTCGTAGGAATGGAGCTGGCTGACCGATTAAGGGCCGGGGAAATTAGAGAGAAAATTCGGTCCTGCCTTAGAGACGAAAGAGCAGAATCAGAAGGTGCTGTTGCCGTTAAATCTGCGCTTGAAGAACAAAATTTGGGGCTCGATGCATCTCCAGCGGCAGATGGCGCATATATTGACGCCAGTCTGGTTGAGGAGGACTTTTGCTTTCCATAAGAGCTGCTTTTCTTCTTTTGAGGCGAAATTTTTGTTGATAAAAACCAATCAAATATGACGGCCATAAAGAATCGCAAAAGAACCACAAAGGCAATGGTAAATAGCGAGATTGCAAGAATAACTTTTGCAAAAAAGCAGCCCGGGCTGTCTTTGGAAAGAATCCCCACTTCAAATCTGCTGAAAAGGCACTCTGTTTGGTTTGACATGCGATTGTTAGCAAAGGAAAGCGAGGCGTCGGATCCTGGTGGTATTTCTTGTGCAAGTTGAATGGTCGTTATGTTAACGACAAGCCCATTGATGGCAACTAGCTTTCCAGATGCAGAAACCAGATCCTCCCATTCAAACATCAAGGTACGAGCCGAGGAAAGCTGCGCATTTTCTAGATCTGATTTAAAAAAGGGGTTTGAATAGGTGCCGCATTGGCCCTTTGGAGGAAAAAGGAACGAAATATCGCCACTCTGCGGCATCTGTAGCGTTGGAAAATACGAGGAAATTTGCGAGGGCTCATACGCTTTGCCATAAGCCCATACAAAGTGCCCCACCATTGCCTCTTGGTATCCTATGGAAGATTCGATATATTTTTTAGGGGGACACAATAAAATCGGAAGAAAAAACGTCAAAAAGGCTACCATTGCACACAGACACAAAATGATAAAACAAAGAGATATCTTTTCCCTGAATGCCCGCTGCGAGGCGAGATCCTTCATCCCTCCGACCCAGGAAAGGATAGGGGGGATCGCCCAAAATGTCAGTATATAGCTAAAAACCATCCAAACAGAACAATAGTGCCTCCCATGCGCTTTTTTGTTGGGATTCGGATTTTTGCTCGAATAGAGGAGCCTAATGGGTACGCGAGATAAACGGCTATTGTTTTCCATCTCAATAAATACGCCAACCATAACGGGAAGTCCGCTTATATGAAGAGGCACCGGGACGCATTTGCATCAAATTGAATCAAATTGGCTGTGTATTTCCCAAAATATCAATTGACACCTCCAAAGGTTAGGGTCAAGCCCCGATGAAATGTCTCTTTATTAAAATTTAAGCGAAACCAGCGCACTTGGTAAATTGAAGCAAAATGGAAGTTCCCCGCGCGAGTTTAGATTGGCATCTTTGTTGTTATTGTTGTGGATTACGGTGGTCGCATTGGTGATGCCCAAATGATGATCCTGGATTGCAATGATTTTTTATACAATGCATGTTTTCTACTTTGGTGTGATCGGCTTTTTGCTGTTTTTCCCAAATCAAGTGCTGTGCAAAATTATTTCAAATTGCAGGAAACCTGGCACAGTTGCAGTGACGTTCGATGAGGGCCCTTCAAAGTAATTTAGGTTTTGCCGCTCATTTTCAGAAAATTCACACCGGTGATACTGAAGCATTTAAGGGATGCCGGGATCAAAGCAACCTTCCATGTATCCACTTCAATACTCCATGATCCCAAGGCTGCGGCTATTGCAAAAAGAATAATTTCGGAAGGACATTTGCTTGGCATTCGATACGCCCCATATGTATCTATATGTTGGTTATTCTTTTTCTAGATAGAAAATATAGGGAGAATTCCGCCCTCTCATTTCAGGTCTCTTCTCGAGGCGGACAGACAAATGATAAAAGACATCCTGAATTATGACGTCAAGTACGTGAGGCTACCATACGGTTCATACCCAAAAGACGCCATCAAGTTTGCCGAGCAACTGGGGTTCGTCATTACTGAACATTCTCTGGATTCAAAGGATTTTCTGGGTAGCAGTGATGCAATGGTTCACTCGTACCAAAATGCTCTTTCTCCGACAAGCAACTTCATTGCTGTGCATAGGGATCATGCCAAGGTCACTGCATTGTATCTTCCAAACATCATTTTGCTTATCAAGAAGCAAAGGCTTCGTCCCTTTCTACTTTCCCAGTGCATTTGAGCGCAAATAAATCTGGATTTAACATTTTCTCTTTATTAGAAATTCTCCAATCAGCAGCATCCACCGGACAGCTCGACCTTGGAGCCGGCAGAGATATTCACATTTCGGCCAGAATGGTGTCCCGACTGAAGAGCAGGTCCGATTCTAGAATGAAAATGAGGCCGAGCCGGTCGCCTACCTGTCTTTAATTTTTGTGGCCATAGTTAGAAAGGCACTCTCTACATTTGTCGAGTTTTTTGCAGATGTTTCGAGAAATGGGATTCCGAGCTCTCTGGATTTTGCCTCTGCTTCGGAATAGACTACGGCGCGCTTTGAAGCCAGATCGGATTTGTTGCCGACAAGGAGCTTGTTAACGCCCTCGGAAGCAAACTTTTCGACCTCCTCCAGCCAGTCCTGAACATGCATAAAGGTATCCCTGTCTGTGACGTCGTAAACCACGATGATGCCATGTGCACCTCGATAGTAGCTGGAGGTGATGGTCCTGAAACGCTCTTGCCCCGCAGTATCCCAGATCTGCAGTTTGATGATTTTGCCATCAAGCTCGATTGTTCTAATTTTCTAAGATTGATCAAGATCATCCAATAAATACATACAAAATCAACGCCAATTGTGGAGATGTAGCTATCGGTGTATGTGTCATCCTACAATAAGACTGACCAAAGTACCGAGAATCGAAGCAAAATGCACGACTTTCCAACCCCAGAGTCGCCAATCAACAGTAGCTTAAAAAGATAGTCACTAGGAGATTATTTTCAAAATCGCTACTATTCAGGTGTCATTGGGTAGGAAAATATTAAATTTTAATCACAATATCTACGCTATAAATCCGGCAACTTTAAGAAGTCTTCATATTCCATTGTGCAATTGTGTACATTTGTACATTTGCAATCTTGTAATCTTTTAATTTTACACAAAGCACCGCAATTTGCCTTTATGAACAATGATGTCTCTATTGCTAGCGCAGCGAAATGTCCCAATGCAGCCGATGTGGACGAATCTCCAGAGTTGATTTATGCTCTTTGGGAGCTTTCAAGTCGATACTCTGAGAGGGCTTCAAAGCTGCTCAAGCGCTCCAATGAAAGTGCCGTTGAAGTGGAAAAGAAAACGCTTCTTAAAGGATATGCGGAGCTTGTCACCTCTGCATTGAAATGCCTTGTTGAGGCGCTCGAAGCGATCCAAAAATGCCCTCTTATTGACGACAAAGCGAAGCTTTGCTACGAATTTGCTTCGTATGAAAGGCTGTTTTTCACCAAATTCGAGTTTTCGCTCGACTTTAACGGCATGGAAGAGTGTTTAGTGAAGGCGGTATGTATGCTTTTGATTTTTGATTTTTAGTCATCTGTTCTGCTTCTGGTACGGGGTTTGCATACTTATGTCCTTAGATGGAGGCTCAAAAGGCGGCCTTCCTGCAGCCTGCCGTTGAGAAAATGCGGTATCTGTTGTATTCCTCGATGTTCTAAATTGGAAATTTAACAATCAAACTCTATCATGCTGATCGGCAATGTCAATGATGCAGATCAATTGAGGCCGTTATTTCATGCATTCCTGCCTCGGGATTTTTATGAACATTAGCGAGCTATCTTCGATTTTCCTTATTCATTCGTCATCGCCCTTGTTTTCTGCGTCTGATTTCCATGGCGCGCAGCAGACGATAAATTTGAATGTCAAGCCCGGGGAAAGGTTGGAATATTTTGAACACGACATTGCGTTTCCTGCCAAAAGCATATTCAAATCCACGAGCAGCTGTGAAAGCAGCTGCTCTAGTTTTCCAGAATTATCTGCACCCACAACCGACGCTTCTGCACTGTACACCTCCAAATCAAAAATGCCTTGTACCTTTGCGTCGCCATCGGCATCTTTATCGGCAGCAACCCCGTCGTTATTCTCCGCTGCATTGCAAGTTTATAGCCATTCAAATCGACCTCCTCTTAAAGAAATAAACTGCAATTCCCATCAGGGCGGCCTCCCTGTGGAACCTTTGATCTCATTTTGTAAAGCGTCAGATCAAATGGGCACTGGCCAGCATTGCTTTCCTGTCTCGCACAATGGACAGTCTATTCTTAGTGACTGTGGCAAGAACATCCAACCGTTTCAAGATTTCGAAAATAATCGCAGAAGGCCTCTTTCGCCCCCTCTTTCTAACACGTCAGGGCCTTCTTCGTCAGGTAAGCACCGCCATTTTGATTTATTTGCCTAGAAAAATCCATCTTGTTTCCTTCATGCCTGAATCAAGAACAAATCTTGGAAAGCAGATCGTCGATTTACAAAAAGACTCCTCGGTTTTCCGGCGATCTTTACAAGCCTTCCTTTGTGCGGGGAAGTGGAAGCGAGCGCGAGGGCAGATGCGAACTGTGTAGTCCACCGGTATGGCTAAACTTGAAACGATCTACTTATTGGTACCACATGAACTTTACTCACGGCATTTCGTCTAAAACGGGGCGTCCTTATCCAGATCCTCTTTATGTCAAAGCCTCGCCGCTGCATTGTGGGGCTGAGCCCGAAAAAAAGCAAGTCCTTGAAGCCTTCTGCAGGAACTGCAGAGGCTGGATTTCTATCACCATCCCGCTTGTTAAGATTTGCCAATTTTCGGACGTTCCCGTTTTTTCTTATGACCGGAGCAACTTTTCTGATTGGTTTAAGCATTTGCAAAAATGTCTTTCTCATGCAATCAAGTAAGGCAACCAGCATGAGCAAGCGTCCCAACACACCGACCAACCATCATCGAATAATACACTACACACGTCAAACTCGGTCTGTAGACAATAAATTATGCCAACAACAGGGCCCAATTAAATTTAGCGGCCAATTCTCCTTGTATCATTCATCACATGCATACTTTTTACTCCGCAATATTTTGCAATTTATGGAATTTAAATGGACTGATTTGGGTTGCCATCCACCTTTACTATCCGGAAATGGTTACTGAAGCAACATATATTTTCTCTTCATCTCTTCCAAAGACGTCTTCGCCTCAACCTCCGCTTGATATTCTTTCGATCTCCATCTATGACTATTCGGGATATGTGAAGGACTTTCATCCCACAAATATTCTGCTCAACAATCCACAAGATCAGGCCTCGCGCTGGTCAAGCTCTGCCAAGGACCTGAATCAGTTTATAACGCTGCGAATAGCCCCAAAGACCCAAAGCTCGTTGATGCTGCCCCTTGCTACGGTACAGGAGATAACGTTTGGCAAATACCATCTTCCACACGTGTGCAATTTGAAAGAGTTCAAGGTATTTGTTTCCGTGGACGGGAGAGAATGGAGAGAAGCCCTGCATCAAGGATTAAAAAACGACGGGATTTCAGAGACCTTTCCCCTGCGGTATTTTATCGACCCCACAACGACACCCTCCTTTATATATCCGGTTCAATTTGTAAAAATAGTCCCCATCTCAACTTGGGGCATAGGCTTCAATTTTGGCATCTGGTTTGTCCAACTTAAGGGTACGCAGGAACGAACCCAGATTTCCGCATCTCTTGAAAGGTATGTAAAGTCGCAGTATATGAAGGGCTGCTTGGCCACCTCTTCTGCAATGATGCTACCTAAACGGCCCCCCGGGATAAAGGTCGAAAAGGATTTTGAAGAATTTTTCCATCATCTGTATGATCAAATAGAGGAGATGAAATACGGCAAAGATCTTTACTCTCTGATCCTTGAAATCAGAAACACGTCGCTACTGGATCCGCTTGATGTTGATACACTTGATAAGAAGATCGAAACTGTCTGCTCTCCTGAGGTTCTCAAAAGCGGCCAGGGTTTCCGTTCGATTTTTAGATCTGAATGGACTCAAATTGAAAGAAAAGACGGAGATCCCTGGCCCGCTGCAAGGGGAGGTCATCAGCTGGTTTATGATCGAGTCACCAAAAACCTCTTGCTTTTTGGTGGATGGGATGGAAATAAGGAATTTGCAGACTTTTGGTCTTTCGATTGCAGCTCCAGGAGGTGGACAATGATATCCCCGGATACCTCTGTGGAAGGGGGCCCTTCCCCGCGCTCAGTCCATAGATGCATCATCGATGCATCTGGACGATTCATGTATTGCCTTGGGCGGTACTTTTCACCAGATAGGCACTCATCAGAAGCATCCACTTCTTGTGACTTTTACCGGTGCGACCTCTCTAGCTTCACATGGGAACTTTTGTCGACAAACACCAAGGTATGCCATTTTCCTTTTCCTCCATAGCTGGCCGGAGGCCCGGATCTTATTTACGATCACCAAATGGTTTTTGACGAGCGAAAAGGGATACTTTGGGTGTTCGGCGGACGCGTGTGTAGTTCTTCAACACTGCAGCCGATGTTTTCAGGTCTTTTCTCGTTCTCCGTTTCAACTAAAAAATGGAAGCAGCACCTTTCGGACCTGAGCGAGGAAACTTCAATGCTTCTCTCTCGAGTATCCTTCATGATGTTTCTGGGCGAAATGAGAAATGGAGCCGACGAGGTTCATTCTCTTTTGATCATCATCAATGGCCAGAGGCATCTGGAAGAGATGCACGATGCCGTTATTTACGATCTTGATGAGGAGCGGATTGTTGATATTTCCAATTTGAACTTCTTTAAAAAGTCGCTGAAAACCTTGGATTTCCTTACAAAATCGCCATCGTTCTCCATGAAGGGACATCTATTTAAAGGTGGAAGCGATGGCGGTGGCGGGCGGATCGTGGTGCTTGCGCCCTCAAAGGATAACTCGCGATTTTCGGTATTTCTGCACATGTTTGGGCGCGAAACGATCCTCGATCCCTGCTCGGAGACAAATTCGAACTGGGGTTCTTGGCAGCAAATAGACGAAATGAACATTGAAGAGACAAGTGAGAGAAACGACAATTCCGCTCCCATCATGAGATATGCCTTCAATTTGGCTGGAGATGACACACAGGTAGAGCGCGAGTGCTTTCTAGCTGTAGATGCTGTGGCTTTTTGGTGGAACAATTGCTTCTGGCGCCAAAAGCGAAGAGCAAGGCGAAGAAATCAAAAGAGTGGCGGACATGTGGCAATTGACGCTGCACCCAAAATGGCCATCCGATTTTGCAGCCGAAATGAAGGTCCTGGTCCGCCAGTGCATGTAAACGAGCTATGTAATGGGTTAGGTTTTTAGAAAAAATATCCTCTTCGCATTTGATAAAGTCGGATGGGGAGTGGCGCATTCCAACAGAGAGCCAGTCCGAGGCTCTGAGATATTTGCGCGAGCAAATGGAGCCATATGTTTCGTGCAGCTCGCCTGTCGTCAAGCAGATCCTTTCTGCGTTACCGGAATGTTTATTCCTTGGACCGACAAGCAGCATTTTTGCCAAAGATTCCTCGTCGCTGGACCTTGAAGATCTAAGCGTGTTGAACGGAAAATACGCGCAAGACCCCGTCCAATTTGCAAAGGCAAGGACAATCATCGAATGCAGGAAGACGCTGATCAAGGAGCTCCTGGCCTATGCCTGAATAAACTAAACTTGTAAATGCAGGCGACCGGCTATAGCTCGAACCCTTTACTGGCACACGGATTTGTCGTTCATTAAGGAGAAAGCTGTATAGATGGCGGGTTTAGCAGGTGTCCTGCTAATCGCGTGCAGATTTCAACCATCTGTTTAATTAATTAGAATTTTAGTACGAGGAGCTGTTGCGGTCATCATATGTAGGGGAGGGCGGCATAGGCGCACCCATCCTTCGCTCTCTGGGAGGCGGGCCTTGATAGCGGAACCGGGAATATTGGTCTGGAGAATAGCTTCGTTGATGGTCTTGGATGGTACGAGAATACCTGTGGTGCTCATCATAGTGTGTCGGGAGATCATATTGACGATGGGAATAAGACCTCTCTCTTGGTGGCGAAGCGTGTGTCCGCCTTGGAGGATAATCGTCATATCTTCTGGAAGGAGCGCGATCTGTATATCTATCGAAAGACGTATGGTTAATATAGCCCCGCTGAGAATCTCGATATGCATATCTGGAATATGAGTCTGTCGGCTGGTGATTTTCAGCGTGGTGATGAGAATCTCGATGGTAGTAGTCGTCCCCAGATGATATTCGTTGTGGAAGAGTGCTTCTAAACGACGAGTTTCGTGCAGTGGCAGAAAAGTCGATGCGGATTAGATTCCCCTTGAGCTCTGTCTCGTTTTTTTCTTGCAGTGCTCTAGAGGCACTGCCGACGGATTCAAAATATACAAATGCAAAGCATTTAAAGCGGCCTGTTTCGCGATCAAATATGAGGTTGATTTTTTTGATCTCGCCAAAGGGAGAAAATAGCTCCTTTAAATCAGACTCTGTAGTGTCTTCAGAAAGCCCAAATACACCAATAACAGAATTTGGCGGGGCTAGCTTTCTTCGCTGTGCTTCCCTGGAATTGTCGTCATCATCGCGGTCGGCTCTGATATGATATGGATCCCTTGGAAACTCCCTAGAACGATAAAAATCTCCAGAATCATCATTGCCATGATGGTTCCCTCTATGCTCGCTTGAGTTGGCATGGTATCTCGCAGGTATTCTTGAAGGAGAACGACTTGATGAATATTCCATTTTATATTTTTTGAAAAAAAAATCTTTTTAAATTTTTATAATTTTTGCGATTTTAATTTTAAAATATGTATTTTAATAGGCCAATTTGAAATTAATATTTTAAAAGCAATGAATACCATCAAGCAATCTTTTCGCTCCCTCTCCAAACGGATTGGCACCGTTTTAGAAATTAATGATACGCCGCAGACTATACTTCCCTTCCCATCCCAATACAGTCTTTCATCGAAATCTTGGCCCCCTCATGAGCTTCTTGCACTAATGCTCCTTCAGTTCCTTGCTCTGGTCTTCCTTTGGAATTTCCTGGGAAGCGTTGGTACGCTGCTTTTGTTTCCGTTTTCATTTATGAGCGTGTTATTCCATGAGTTGGGACATGCGTTTATGGTAACTTTTGCATCTAATTTTAGGCGATTATTACGGGCGGCAAAGTTCTTTCCATAAAAATCGGCATCACGGCAGACAATGGCTTGACAACATTTGCCGGCGGCTGGGAATGTCTTGTCCTTCCGGCCGGGTATCTATTCAGCACCTTTTTAGGCGCATTTATGCTATTTTGCTCTTTTTCCGAGTATTTGAGCTTTATCTTTGTCTCTGTTGGCGGGATATTTTCCTCTGGATTTCTCCTCTTCTTTTCGGACGATATTCCGACTTTTCTTCTTTCCTTGCTTTCTCTTTCTGGCTTTATACTGGCCTTGAAATTTTACAAAGAAAAATTGATCGTATTTTGGGTTTCTTTTGCAGGAATGGCGTGCTGCTTTATCGCATCGAGCTCGATCTTGTCTTCGCTTATTATTTATCAGAATCCAATCACGGATGGCTATAGGTTTTCGCAGCAATGCCTCTTCATAGTGCCTCCTGTGCTTGTTGGTGTTTCTTGGCTGTGTTTTTCTCTTCTTTTCCCATTCTTTTTCCTATATTTACGCGTACGCCAGTTTAGAGTTAAAACGTGACACGACACGGTATAACGATGGGATCAAGCGCTATCGGTTTTATTACGTTGCCAATTTTGCATGTACAAGCACAAGTATTTTGCTGCGCTCCGCTTTGGTGGCCTTATATTAGGCCTTTTGCTTTGTTTGAACTCTTGCATTTAGCTTTTCTTCCAAGGCTGAAATTTCAGATGCCATTTGGACGATGGACTTTAAAAATTCCTTCAGCTTGCACGCGAGAAGATCGGGGTTGGATATTAGGATGCCAATGTGTTCATCGGCAAGGGGTTTTGGATCATTGGCTTCAATTCGGGTTTTTAAAAGGCCAAGGGTATGTCCAAAGGCAGAGATCCGCTTTTTAAAATACCGCTCTATTGGCTTGTCAAGCACATACAATGTGCTTCTCATCGATGGGTTTTTAAACTTTTCAAGAGAAAACAGGGCTAGTTCCAGATCGGAAAACAGCGAATTCCCCTTTTCTCTCATGTCCTCAAAGGTTTCCGATGATTTAACGAGCTGGATTTTGACTTGAAGAAGTAGCTAAAAATTAAGTAAAGTTCGATGGCGGCGTGGTAATACCTTTTCAATTTGGCCTATTTGGGTTTCCAGATCATTATTTTCCCTTGCAATCGATGGAACCGGCATGGCTGCCTTATGTGCCGTCTCTTTTATCACCGCTCTAGCGATGGATAAAATAAAAATAAATACTCTAGCGATATCAATGCATCCTTGATGTGCGGAGGTAGTTCAGCAAACCTGGTCCTTCCGGGCAAGCTAATTGTGAGCCAAACTGGGACTTACTCCGAGAGAGGTGGTTTCAACGAAGAGTTAGGCGCTTGAATGGAAGATGGAGTGGTAAAGGTTCCTTGGGTAGGAAGAGTTCCGGGTGTGCAAAAAACGGATGAAGATGGTGTAAAAAACGAATTGGCCGTGCCTGGAGCCGGAAATTGGGGCGTGGTGTTTGCTGGCGTTGAAAATGGAGTTTGCATGGCAGATGATGCTGTAAATGGAGTTTGCATGGCAGATGATGCTGTAAATTGAGTCGATGGCATGGCTGGTGTTGCAGCCTGTGTGGTGTTGAAATTTGAAAACGAGGAAGATGCAAAGGGCGTAGAAAGCGATGAAGCACCAAAACTGGGTGCATTTGACATGGGCATTGAAAACGGATTCGTAGGTTGTGATGCTGAAGAAAGTGGTGTTGTGGATGCGGATGTCGATATCGGGTTGAAAGCAAATGGGGTTTGCGCGGTAGACTTGAACATTTTGTACGTCGGCAAATAAATTGAAAAGCTGCAAATTAACTAAATTTGGGGCTACTTGGGCCCTAAATTGGAACCCATTGCACAGCGGTCACAAGACGGTGTTGTGCACGGGCAGCCTGGATTTAAATTTTATTATTAGAGCCAACACAATACTTTTAACAACTATATTACAACCTCCTACTGGAACTCTCTAAGCGTAGAGTGTACAATGGGCGGATTAGACTTGCTTAGCTCTTCCCTATTTGCCGTGCAATAGTTAAACGAGCAATTATGCAAATGGGGCGGCTTATGACTCTGGCAAAAGAAAAACGAACATTTGCATGGATATTGAAGGGATTCTCTGACTTTCTTGTTGCAAACAAAGCAATTTGACTCCATCGCCATTGCAGGTCGAGCGTGCTCATGGTGAGCCAGTTCAGCCGGAGCATGCTGCTGTGAGGACGGCTCTGCTAGCATCGATAACAATGATGATGATGATGATGATGATGATGATGATGATGACGACGAAGATGCTTGGGATGAATTCAATAGCTGGAAGCAAGATGTGGGCGCCGGGCCTAATGGAGCTGGTGTGGTAGCGGGATTTTCAGACTGCAGCAGCGTCAGCAGACTGATATCGGTGTATGTGCCTGTTATTTCGACAAAAAAAATGCCCCCATTTTCGGATCTATAAATAAAAGTTTTCGAAGTTGAAGACTGGCCGGCCAATGATGCCACAGAATCCGAGTTGGCCTCGCACGCAATGTCTTCAGAAGAGTCGTAGGGAAAATCGTCGCATCCATCATGTTCTAACAGCTCTTCAATGGTAAATGGACTGGGGGAAAAGTCGAAATCATCCTCTACAATATCCTGGCTACATTTGTTTGCGGGGAACGAATCGAGCATGAAATTTCCAGGACCTCCAGACATGGAAAGCAGAAGCTTAAGGGAAGAATTATTCACAATGCCAAAGCTTTTGATAGCCAAAGAGGAAGAGGCTGGAAGCTGATGGTGGTGCAGCAATAAAATCTGGTTTTCTGGAAATATTCCGGACACCTCGAAAATGTTCATTTTGAGCGCATCCAACGAGTCATCGGGGTATAAATCATTAATTGTAAATACATTGCCCATCAAAGTCATCACCGAAATCGATAAACTGTCCATGGAAGCTTCATCGCACTCCAACATTTGCGAGGATGCACATGTTATCGAGGAGGCCATGGAAAGAGAGTCCTCAAGCTTTTGCTTTTTTTTTGTTGGCTTTTCAAAATCGATCCCATTGTTTGAAAGAAATTCGTTTTTGACCGAACCGTCTGATTTGAACACAAAGTCAATGGAGTGGATGGCCTCTTCCGACTTGCAAAGGTTCTCGGCCAAGGAAATGGATGTAACATCCACTTCCGTTATCACACCTTCGGAATGTATAAGGCCTGCAGATGTTTGCATATTTGACTGGGGCTTTAGCAAAGGCGATTGGCTCAAGGTAGACGACGGCTTTGGCGACGGGGACCCATTTCCGGACTGTGTTGTAGAGGGCGTAGAAGACGCAAATGTCATGAGGAATAATAAATAAATTTTAGATTTGCAGCCAATATTTACTTACTTTTTAAAAATTAATTGCCAGTTTAATTGTTATTTTTGTGCACCTTTTCTGATGACAGGATCGGTCCCAAGCTTTAGGCATCATTTAAGCTGAAATGGGTACATTGGGTGTCAAAACATCCACGCAAATGCCAACAGCACCGATGCAGGCTGGCATCCGGTATCCCCAAAGCCTGCAGTTTAAGTTTGGCGAAATAAGCAGCGTGCTAGCTTTGAAATCACTAGCCGATTGGAGGGCACGTGTAAACACTTAACCCTAAATAAAGGGATGTTGCCAAAACACAATGTCATGATGTTATTTGAGCATCCGGAATGTCGAGTTTGCGGCCCAATGCGGGGTGTTTAAACTTTTGTGTATTCGCAACACTTTGTGGCAAAATTTAATTTTCTCGCGGTGTAAGTTAGAGGCGTAAGGAAAGGCCAACGCACTTTGGATGACATTTTTGTACGCTGACCAGCTTAAAAGAGCATACAGACTTTATTATGCAGCGTGAAAAAGCATTTTGAAGACACGAAATCCAGCCAATTTGAGACTTTCGCCAAAATATGCAAATGTGTGTCGATTATTCCTGCGATATGGTGCCAAGTTTGCTTCCATCAAATGGAATCATAAAGATGGGCTCCATCCAATGTCGGCGGCTTGAAAGCGAAAAATTAAAATTTAAACTAAAACTAAAAACGGTTTTCGGCGGGTGGGACATGAACTTTAATTTGCAGATTGCTGCATCGATGCTGGACCTTTTTTGTTGCGTATGCAAAGATCCGATTGCAAAGTAATTTGGGCAGCCTCATTTTAGGATACATCCGCATTTGAAGTGCATCGACTGCGAGGATAGTTTACACCTGAGTTTGTGGCCATTGTTGTCTCATATTTAGAGTGTTCAATCACCTACAAACACATGCCATGGACTTTTCTCGAAGGCGACCAGTTCTATTCATATTCGTGCTCGAAATGCACCCGCGGCAGAGATATCTTGTACCGCTTGAAGGTCACATGGTCCGATATCATCTATCTCATCTTGTACCACCTGGAACATAGATGCGAGTCTTCGATGCTTACCAGGCAGGAAGCCGCATCGATGGATACAAAGCTTTTCCATTGGAAGGTTGTCATGGATTACTTCCGTCTCCATTGGAGCAAATTTTACTCCAAAAGCCTGCCACCCAGCTCTTCATGGCAAAATGCTGCCATTGGCCATTTAAGCTCCCTTTTGTCGTCCGGGAAAGTCATGCCAGGGGGGAAAAAGAAAGCAGGTATTGATAATGCCAATTTTTCAAGGATACTATGCGGTCAAAGACAGGAATGAAGCGCCAATAATGCACTATCAAACACGCCCGATCATTTCCTCAAGGGTCCTAGCCTCGGGGATCCTGATTCCAATTACGGATTCTTCTGAAAGCCCCATCGAGATGCGGTCCAAAAGCTTGAAAAATGCCAATAGCCATGCAAACGGTAAGAAGAGGGAAATAGATTCCATCGATTTTGACCGGCAAAACCCAACGTCGCCAGATCCGGTTCGAATTTCTCGCCTTTCAACGCTAACCAATTCTGCGCTTGTCATATCTCCAGATGGGTTGATCGTTTCCAGTGGAAATGTATGATTTTTAAATACACCCCAGGGCTATCGCACAGCAAAGGCATCACATGGCTGTTTTTCAGGAACTTGGTACTATGAGGTGACCATTTTGCCCTCTCCCGAAAAGACAACAAATGTCAGAGTAGGGTGGGCTCAGGGCCTTTCGGATCTCCATTCGCCGGTCGGGTTTGATGAATTTGGATATGCTTTTGGAGACGTAAAAAGCATTCTGTTCCACACAGGCCGTCCTTTAAATACGTTCGTCAATATGCCGGTTACGCCAAAGGATGCCATTTTTACAATTGGAATGTTGATCCATTTGCCACTACCATCCAACGACGAATCGGATTACGATGAGCACAAACTGCGCCAATTTCAGCAGCTTTTCCCGCCTAGGCAGCTCACAGATGCATACCTAATCAAACACAAGCTCCTCGGAAATTCGTACTTGGAATTCTTCATCAACGGGGTTTCCATTGGCAGGGGTGGAGAGGCCTTTGGCTTGTATAGGGGCAAGTATTATCCTGCCGTTTCTGTTTTCAATGGAAGCGTTTCCGTAAATTTTGGCCAAGCTAAATTTGCGACCGATTTTTCAACCGATCCTCGCGCCATAAGACCCGTTTCCGAGCTGTGTGGACTTTCTGAGCCTTTTGACTTTGAGACAAGTCGGTTCATTGGGTGAAGCGCATGTACATATATATACACTTGGCCCAGGGCACAAAGTATGCGTCGTTTGGTTTGTTCGCCACAATTGCTTGTGCTGCAGGCAAGGGAAGGGGAGGGCCAGTACGGGGTCGGTCGGTCACATCCGCTAATTAAAGATTGAAATTTCAAATTTGCTTCAAACCAAAATATTTTCCAGTCATTTTGGAATTTCCCAAATAAGATATTGTTATTTCGAAAAATGGATTTAAATGATCACGCCTTTACATATCTATGCTTTGGAAAGTATCTCTAATATTGCTCCATTTGATCGCCCTCACTTTGGTTGATGCAAAGAGGGACAGGCTAACCCACATTGTCATTCCATATCACTACAGGCAGTTGCCAAATCTATTAACCAACATCGAGCTATGGTCAAAATATCCGCCATATATAAACAAAGGGAGCTCCAAAGATACCGAGCTGACCATCGTCTTTTACTCTTCTGGCGGCTTTTTGGCTGATGCAGAAAAAAGGGACCTTGAACTGAGAATCAACTCCAGCCTTGCGTTGATCCTAGATGGGGTCTTGTTGAATTCAATTCAACACATCCACGCAATTTTGAATGGCGATGCAATCGATAGCCACATAGTTGGATCAAGAACAATGTTCGATCTACTGCTATATTTCTATTCCTATCAACTTGCAGGGGAGGACCCGCTGATTTTCTTCTACATGGAGCCGGATTGCCTCCCCATCAGAGGTGGATGGGTTGAGGCACTGCAGCAAGAATGTGACACAAGAAGTGGTCGCTTTTGGATGCAGGGATCAATCTTCCATGGCGATTCGAGGGTCCTTTTTAAGAGGAAAGACAACGATCTTCCCTTCTTCCTTCATATAAACGGAAATGCAATGTACAACATTGGACCGGAGTCCTATTTCCGCGAATACTATTTGATCGCGGTGGAGACCATTTCGTGGCGGTCAAGGCTTATGGACAAGTGGCTCCTCTCTTCTGGTAGGTCTCTTGAAGATTTGGAAACAAGACTGAATAAAATAAAATACAAAGCCACCAAAAGATGTGCCTTCAAATCCTATGACATGGCAATTGCATACTCGCTCTTCTTGCGTTCGAATTTCCTTCAAACTAGAGCCTTTTTTGACAAGTTTCTGTACACGGACGTGGTTCAGAACCGCTGGAGATCTCAGTATTGCCTTGATGAGGTTCATGTTTCCTTTCCAAACACATTTTTACTGCACGGAGGTCAGCACAATGCCTCTGTTTGCCAGTTAAATGAATAAACTTTCATATGGTCGTTGAGAAGGAAACTTTACAAGGGCTAACCCTAAGTTGCAAACATCAAGTTTTCATTTTTATGAAGGGCATAAGGAGCGCATTGCTTCTGGGATCGTGCGAGTTTTCGCAGTCCTATTTGCGCACCCTACTTTTATCTTCGCCATTTGAGGAGATGCATGTGGTGACGCCTCCAGGGCCAGTGTTCCCGCTGTCCTCATTTGCGCAGAAGGAGAAAATCCCGGTTCACCAAATCCCAGATGCCGGTCTCAAAGATTGGATTGTATGTGCTTGTCAAGCTGTTCCATAGATTCCAACGCCATCTAATGGGCGTGTTTTTGACCTGGGAATAGTTGCCTCATTTGGCTATTATATCCCAAAGTCTGTTCAAGAGGCTTTTCCCAACGGCATGTTCAATATCCATCCCTCGTTGCTCCCAAAGTATTATTCGGCTGATGCAGATTTTCAATAGATACAGAGGCTCGTCCCCAATTGAAACTTCAATTCTTAGTGGAGATACATGCGTTGGGGCTTCCATCATTTTGATGAATACAAAGGAAATCGATGCAGGAGACATTTTAAAGCAAGTCTCCATTGTAGGGATATCCATTTACTTATCCGACTTACAGACCCGGTCAGCAGATGAGCCTTTGGAAACAACAAGAAATCGACTGGCAACATTGTCCGCTCAATTGACCATTGAGCTGATAAAGGATGTAAATTGTGGCGCGGGAATCAAGCCAGTTTCGCAGGCCCCCATATACGATCCTGAAATGCATCCAAAATGCTATAAAATCGGTCATGAGACCAGTATTTTTTCTCCCCTCCAACACACCGCAAATCAGATATACTGGAGACGGCTGGCGCTAACCAATCGAGTACATTTGCCATTTTTAGCTTAGTATACCGTCGAGTGCAAATTTTTGACTGCAAACGGAACAAAGTTAAAATTGAAATTAATGGATGCCACGCCCGGACACGTACCTATGGGAATCGATCCTTTTGATTGGACAGCACTAACAAGTAACGAATACATGGGCGTCTCAATATTAGAGAGTTCCACACCGGGCGTCGCATTTTTCGATAAAAAACAGCGGCGAATCTGGATCAAGTGCAAGGCAGATACGTGGATCACTTGCGGTTGTTTTAGAATTGAAAACAAGTCTGTCGATCTTTCTGCCTCTCAATTGTGGGGCTATGGCATGGCAAACGTCGACAAAATTTATTTTTTTTAAAATTTATGGAAACAAGACGACGGTCTCGAATAGTAGGAGAGTCTTCATTTGGGTTACGCAACAAGGATAGATCAAGTAACCAATTTTGTATTTCAAATTATCGGTAGAATTTGATGATGAGGCCCAGAGTTCCGAAACACGTCCAAATTGTAAATTTAGGCTTTCAATTGCCGTCGCGTTATTGATCATCGGTGCAATTGCTCTGTTTTATCATTTTAACTTTCCAATTTATCGTAAATTTAAAGTAAGTGAATGATCACCCGTGTAAATTGTAATTTTCCTTTGCAATGCCTTGTCTGTGCTTAAACCATTCATTTTCCGCCTCTAACCTCCAAAAGGATGCCGATACGTCTTCAAGTGTTGCATATTCGCGCGAGGTTTTACCTGATAACGTCGTCCCTGAACATTATGAACTGGAGTTGAAACCGTGCTTGGATAGCTTTACATTTGATGGTCTTGTTGAAATTTCAATCACTGTCATCAAAACGACAAATGAAATTCGACTAAATGCAAAGGATTTGATAATCCTTTCTGGGCTGCTGATAACCAGCGACGGAAAGTAGCTTTGGTCTTTTAATCCTAGTATTGATGAATCAAAATTCGAAATGGACAACAAAAAGGAACATGTGACATTTAAGTTTACTGGTGATATTGCTGAAGGAACAAGCGCCAAGCTGAGAATCTCCTTTAAGGGGGAAATAAACAGCAAGCTCGCTGGATTCTATCGAGCCGTTTATGAAGACCCAAGTGGCAATAAAAAGGTCATGGCAGTAACTCAATTTGAAGCTACTGATGCCAGAAGGGCATTTCCCTGCTGGGACGAGCCAGATAAAAAGGCAAAATTTACCATTTCCCTCCAGGTGCGCAACCACCTCA